GGATGTGGGGTCTAGGTTTTGGGGCTGTGACAACAAAGCAGTATGCAAGCTGACGGACACAATATGGATCATCTGGGATTGGGCACTCCAGGAATACCCGAAGCAAAAGCAACCCGAAACCCTCGACCCTAAGCCCACACAAGGCCCCCCATTGAATCGTACCTCGGCGTGCATGGGATCCATGCCGTGCCCTGCATAGGGCACCTGGCAGGGGCTTGGGGGCGCTGGGCACTGGAGCTTGCGAGGCTTTTGAGAGTTTGGGGGGTTTGCGGCTGAAGCCCCACTTAGGGTGTAGGGTTTAGGGTTTAGGGTTTAGGTTTAGGGTTTAGGGTTTAGGGTTTAGGGTTTAGGGTTTAGGGTTTAGGGTTTAGGGTTTAGGGTTTAGGGTTTAGGGTTTAGGGTTTAGGGTTTAGGGTTTAGGGTTTAGGGTTTAGGGTTTAGGGTTTAGGTGTAGGGTTTAGGGTTTAGGGTTTAGGGTTTAGGGTTTAGGGTTTAGGGTTTAGGGTTTAGGGTTTAGGGTTTAGGGTTTAGGGTTTAGGGTTTAGGGTTTAGGGTTTAGGGTTGAGCTCTTAAGCCCACTCTAAATCCTATGCCCTAAGCTCAAAGGCAGCGGCACCTCGGCAGGCATCGCTGCGCCCTCCATCGGCGGGTAGACGGGGTAAGGCGCCTGCGGAGTGCCGAAGAATGGGCCGAACAGGTTTTAGGGTTTAGGGTTTCAGGGTTCAGGGTTCAGGGTTTAGGGTTTAGGGGTTTGGGTTTTGGTTTTGGGGGTATCTATGTCATGAGCCCTTTTCGGACACGGACAAAAAAGCAAAAAACAACAATCTGAGGAGAAAGCACTGAAACCTCATTTGCATGCTACAATCCCTGAATCCCTGAACCCTGAGCCCTTTCTGTAAAAGCAAACCCTCAGCCCGTGAAGTTTAGGGTTTAGGCTTAGGGTTTCGGATTAAGGGTTCAGACGTTAATGGTGCTCTTGACGGGCTCCGGCCCTCGCACTGGAGCCTCCGCGTAGGGCTCCTCCGGAAAGACCTCCCCACAGCCATGACAGGTGGTCCCCTGTAAACCCCACTAGAGGGCCTCTGCAGAAGGTTTTGAGACTGCAAAAGCGCAATGCCCACCCTATACCCTGAACCCTGAACCCTAAACCCTAAACCCTAAACCCTGAACCCCAAACCCTAAACCCTAAGCCCTAAGAAGTGGCGAAATAGAGATCGGCTGTGCCAGCTGAAGCCTGAACGCCTCACGAAACCCCACCGCTGCAGCCTCGCCCATGGGCACCGGCTCGACATAGGGCTCCGCATACCTCTCTCGCTGGGGTTTAGGGTTTAGGGTTTAGGGTTTAGGGTTTAGGGTTTAGGGTTTAGGGTTTAGGGTTTAGGGTCTAGGGTCTAGGGTCTAGGGTTAGGGTTTAGGGTTTAGGGTTTAGGGTTTAGGGTTTAGGGTTTAGGGTTTAGGGTTTAGGGTTTAGGGTTTAGGGTTTAGGGTTTAGGGGTTAGGGTTTAGGGTTTAGGGTTTAGGGTTTAGGGTTTAGGGTTTAGGGTGTAGGGTTCAGGGCTCCCTGCTTGGGGCCCTTCGAACCATTGTAACATCGGGGTCTTAAGAATTGGAATAGGGTGTTGGGGGTCATTATAGTATATTCTACAAAGGGGACCCGAAGGGAATAGTATTGGTGTTTTTTCGGACACCTATCTTACACGACTTAGGGAAGCCTTGAAAAGCCCTTTTTCAGCGCAGGGTTCAGGGCCAAACCTTGCGGGGGTGAGCTTGAGGGCTATGGGCCGAAGCACCCTGAGCGGACAAAGATCCAAAAAGCCTCGACCTCGCTTCTCACTAATAGATGAGGGAAGCAGGCCCCTGACATTCCCCAAAATTCTATCACTATCTCTACCCTTGAAGGGATTCGATCTAGCCTCATTCCCGCACGAAGTAAGAACCCACCCTAAACCCAGAACCCTAAACCCTACACCCCAAACCCTGATCTGAACCCTAAACCCTAAACCCTATAAACCCTAAACCCTCATTCCCTGTCCCAAAGAACCAAAAGGCTGCCAAGCGCTTCGGGGTTGCGGCTCCACGAAGGGCTCCCCGAAGGGCGCTTGCAGGGGGGCGGCTGAGGGGACGAAGACGGCGGCTCCGGCGTTGAGGCTCGGGGCCTGCATCGTAGGGGTTTTGGGGGGGTTGGGGGGGAGCTTAGGGTCTAGGATTCAGGGGGTTCAGGGGTTTAGGGGGTTTAGGGTCTGCACCCTAAGCCCCAAACCGCAAACCCTGAATCCTGGGTAAGGGGCTGAGGGGTGGTTGGGCCGAGTGGTGCGGCTCAGAAGAAGTGTAGAATTCTTGGAGTTGAGGGTTCAGCTTTGAGCTGGAGTTTCGGGTTGGGGGTTGAGATTTAAGCCCTAAACCCTAAACCCTAAACCCTAAACCCCAAATCCGATATACACCCAGGATTATGGGAAGCTGCGGCCCCAGGGCCTCTGCCGACCAGGACGCTTCGGGAGGACTGGCTGCGGGAGCTTCGCCAGCCTGCGAGGCATTTAGGGGGTTTAGGTTTTTTAGGGTTTAGGGTTTGGGGTTTGGGGTTTAGTGTTTAGGGTCTTAGGGTCATGGTCTTCGGGTCATGGTCTGACCGACATTGTTGGTTGTTATGGTGTCGTCTAGGGTGGGAATAAAGAAAGGTCCATTCAAGGGCTATAGAGCTTCAGGATTTGGGGATTTATGGGTTTTGCGATGCTTTGCGGCTTTAAAATTTAGGGGTTCGCGGTGTCAGTGCATCAGTCTATCAGTGTATCAAGGCTTTAGCGACCCAGCCGGTCAGCCCCCTACTCCGGACGCTGCAAAACCTACCGCCCCAGTGACTGTGCAGATTTGACAGAGCAGGAGGTCAGCATCATGAGCATCAGCTGAACATTTTCGCCCGGCAAAGGTGCAGAAATGCCGAGGTGGGAGGAGATCGGCTCCACGAGCACTGCCCCAGTGAATGTGCTGATTTGAGGAGCTGGGCAATTTTCCGGCCACATGGTCCCCCAGGCTCCAGACGCTTGCGAAACCCCACGATGCCCGGGCTTGTGCAGATTTGACGAGGAGCAAGGAGACTGATACCGAAGGCTGGCCAGCAGCCCGAGTGCTAGCAGATAACTGAGGAGCCACGACCGTCCCACAAACTTCGGCAACATGCGCGGCGCCGGCGACACGGCATGGGCACTGCGACAAAGCCAAGGATGCTGATCTTCGCCTTGCAACCTAACCTTTGGATTCGCAGACATTGCGGACACGAAACGGAATCCGCAATCGCAAGTCAGGCAGCCGAGGTCGAGTTAATCCTCGGGACACCCCAAGAACTCCAACTGAAGCTTTCATTTTGAGGGTTTCGTTAGCTTGGGGGGGGGAGGGGTAGGCCAAACCCTACAGAGCCGAAAGCCCTTGCGAAAAACCACGACGCAAGTGCTTGTGCAGATTTGACGAGGCGGGAGGAGAGCATCACGAGCATCACTTGGGTTGTTTTCCGGCTACATGGCTTCCTAGGCCCCAGACGCTGGCAAAAACCCACGACCCGTGATTGCATAGACTTGACGAGGTGGAAGGAGAGCATCATGAGCGTCAGCTGGGTTATCTTCCGGCCACATGGCCCCTTAGGCTCCAGACGCTTGCAACACCCACGACCCCCGTCCTTGTGCGCATTTGACGAGGCGGGACATCACAAGCATCAGCTGGGTTAGTTTCCACAACCCCCATGCTTGTGCAGGCAGGAGGAGAGCATCATGAGCCTCTGCTGGGTTATCTTTCGGCCACATGGCCCCCTAGGCTCCAGACGCTTGCAAAACCCACAACCTCCGTGCTTGTGCAGATTTGACGAGGCAGGAGGAAAACACGAGGCGGCCCCTAAACCCTAAACCCTAAACCCTGTTCTGTTTAGGGCTTTAGGGCTTTGGGGTTCAGGAACAGGTTGGTACTTCAATCAAGAATAGATGGCCCAAGCCTCCATAACCGAAATCCTGCATCCTATGCCCTAAACCCTAAACACTCTTAGGGTGGTTGCATGGTCCCTTGATATGGGCCCTTCAAGAAAGGGGACCCCGTGTAGGGACCATCTTAAGGGATCATATAACTACCCTTAGATACACCCTTACCCCAAACTCTATGTACTAAAACCAAAATCCGATAAACCCTGAACCTCAAGACCGATACGCTAAACCCTAAACCCTAAACCCCACAAATGAACTAAAGGTCACGAGAGTTTTGGCTTCAATGCTGGTTTAGGGATTAGGGTTTAGGGTTTCGGGTTTAGGGCTTGGAGTTGTGTCCGGGGTTGTGAGGGATGTATCTGCTGGGTTTGGAGCTCTGACTCCAGCTGTGGCAAGCTTGACAACCAGCATGATCTCAAGGCCTTACGCTCGTAACACCTCTCTTAAGCCCTAACTGCCCTAACTCCGAACTCTACACACATTCAATACGGGGCCCTAACCTTAAAAACCCTACCGCCGTACAAGCCACACATTCACAAAAGGCGTTGATCCAAACCATCTTGTTGGTACTAAAGTGTACACCCCAAACCTACATCGACCAAACCTCCGCAAGCGTCAAGCGCTGCAGGTGCTGGCGCACACGTTTCTTTCTGCTCCGGGTGGTGCATCCCCGCTTGGCGGGGAGGGGGGTGCGGGGTCATGTGCATCATAAATGAGGGTTTCTGGATATAGGATCCTCAGGTTTGGGGCGTAGGGGCTCACTGCCGGCATGGCCCACGGGCCGGTGTGCCAGCGTTGCCAGGGCCAAGCGCCCACAGGGATGCGATGCGCGGATGCACTGGCGGGCCTGTGTTGCAGGAGAGGCTCTGAGGTCCAAAAGTGAGTCGTTGGGTTTTGGGATGTCTGGGCAGCATACTACGACGAGCTGAGCGTCCGAGGCCCTTGAGCTCGCAAGCCTAAACCCCAAAGCTGAACCCAACAGCCTCAACCATCTCCATCCCCAACCCTAGGCCCTGAACTCGTGCCCCAGCCAGCCTCCTACACCACGATCTCCTCGGGCGCCCTCGCGCCCGAACGAGCAGCGACACGGACTCCGTAGAGTTTGTCGCCGTTCTGGTCGTGATACGTCACCTGCACGGAATCTAGGTGAGGATAAAGGGCTTTGGGTTGATAAAATCCCGAATCCCTAAGCCCTAAGCCCTAAACTCTCGCGCTGCTCTGTCCATCCTCGCTGAAGCTCTGTAAAGACCTTCCCGCGAAGCCCGAAAACCCTGAACCCAAACCTGAATCAAACCCTAACCCCAAAAAAGCCCATGAGCCCTGAACCCCCAAGGGCACACCGAAAATCGTGCACATGCGGAAGCAAAAAGCCGTACCACCAGCGAGGAACCCTCCTGGTGCCTCATCCCAAACCTTCAGCCCCCAAGCCTGAATTCTCAGTCTACCAACTAACAAACTTCCGTAACCTCAAAGCCCCGAAACCCCTACAACCACAAAACCCCTACAACCCTACAACCCTACAACCCTACAACCCAAAACCCCAAAACCCCAAAACCCCAAAACCCCAACACCCCCAACACCCCCAACACCCCCAACACCCCCAACACCCCCAAACACCCCCAACACCCCCAAACACCCCCCAACACCCCCAAACACCCCCAAACACCCCCAACACCCCCACCAACACCCCAAAACACCCTCAACCCCCTAAGCCCCCAAAGCCCCCAAACCCCCACACCGGCCTCCACGTCGTCATCCCCGAATTGCAGGGACGCAAAGCCGCCATGCACGGAACCTTGCCTTTGCGCACCAAACCCTAAACCCTAAACCCTAAACCCTAAACCCTAAACCCTAAACCCTAAACCCCGTCCAAGCACTATAGGGGTTCAGGGCTGAGGGATTGAGTAATAGGGATTATGGACTAGGTGTTTCGGGATTCGGGATTGAGGGTTTCGGGTCATCATGATGTGAGTTCTCGTATGATAGTAATGCTACTGAAAGCCTTTCTGTACGTGAAGAATGTCTTCGTTGCTAGCTGTTGGGGCCACGTCAATGCCACATAGATCTTAGTAAACACCTCAAACTCCCAAGCGCAAACCTTTTAAAACCAAAGCCCTCACCCTAACCCTAAACCCTAAACCCTAAACCCTAAACCCTAAACCCTAAACCCTAAATAACCAAAGATCGTCTGCCCAGCCACGGCTTTGGGCCGATGCCGGGTCCTCGCCCGTGGTCCCCTGAGAGCAGGTAGCGGATGGCGCCTGGATGTTGAGGGCTTCTAGGGTTTAGGGTTTAGGGTTTAGAGTTTAGGGTTTAGGGTTTAGGGTTTTTGGGGGGTTTGCGGGTTTTTTTAGGGTCTTAATGTTTTGAAACGGTTTATGGGGTTTGGAGGTCTTAGGGCGTTTGGGATTTTCTAGGATGTTGAGGGTTTATAGGGCCTTAAGGGCTTTTCTAGGGTTTTATCGGTTTGGAGGTCGGGGTTATAAGGTTACGTTTTGGGTCATAGGGTGTTTACAGGGTTTTGCGGCGTTGGAGGTCGGGGTTATAAGGTTGTCTTAGGGCCTTTATAGGGTTTTTATGGGGTTTGGAGTTCGGGGTTTGATGGGTTTAGAGTTTGGGCGTTCAGGTACGAGCTTTGGAAGCGGATGAGGCACAGGCGGCAACAGACAGGAAAAGCAAAACCACGCAGAGCGCCTTCCGGGACAGTGTGAATCATCTCTGTGCCATAGCAGCACTCTTTGCCCATGCCGGAGAGGAACATCTCCTTGAGCCGGGGGGGGGGGGGGGGGCCTTGAGGCCAAAGGTTTGTGACGTCTTTTGGCCTGATCAGGTAGAAACTTGGATTTTTCCGTAACACGAACCTTATAGGGTATCGGACTCGGAAAGGCTCCACACCCCCCCCCCCCCCCCCCCTGAAGTCTACCCCTGCCCCTCAGCATGGCCACGGCACCACCCCATCCACCACGATGTGCTCCAGCATGTGGTCGTGGCCACTCAAGTAGTGCGCACCTCGGCTGTCACCCGGAATGGAGCGGGATCCTACGCGGCCCCCACTACCCAGGCGAATTGTTTTGGAAGCCCAAACCCAACCTCCAGAAACTTCCGCAGCAGAGTGAACTCTGACAAGCCTGCAACCTGGCCCATGAACCAGCAACCTCGTCTAGGCTTTTGGCTTTCGGGCGTGGCGCAAGATGAAGACTCCAATGCCCTGTAATTAAGGACCCTTGCAAAAAGCCATTCTAAGAAAGCTGGAGAAGCATTAGGGTTTCGGGTGTGTGGCGTCAAGGGTAGCTGAAGGGTATTGAAGTCTCTGGTCAAGCCAGAACACCTCAAACCCCGAACCCCCAATTCCCAGTGGCGGGGTGACGACGAGGTTCTGAAAAGTTTTATGGTGAGGATGTGGGGCTTGTGGCTCAGGGTGGCGGGTCTTGGGATTGGGGTCTTGGGGTCGAGGGCTTGCGGCTTAGCTTAGGAAGTTTAGGGAAGGGTTTAGGGCAGAAGCCTGAACCCTAAACCCTAAACCCCTAAACCCGAAGCCAAAGCAGTCTGTTTGAATCAAGTGCCGTGCGCCCGGAGCAGGGGGAGCAGTTTCTGCACCAACACACGAGTTGTGCCGTCCGAGCCTCCGCACGGCTTCAGGGCGCAGGGGTCAAGGTTCCTGAACCCTACGCCCTGAAACCGCAACCGCTAAACCAACCTAAACCCGACCTGAACCCTCAAGCCTAAACCCTGAACCCTAAACCCTAAACCCTAAACCCTAAACCCTAAACCCTAAACCCTAAACCCTAAACCCTAAACCCAACCCTGAACCTTCAAGCCTAAACCCTGAACCCTAAACCCTACATCAAGGGCTCCAAAGCGTTACGTCAGGACCTCAGGGCCCACTGCAAAAATATCTTGAGCTTGGGTACAAGGGTTTCGTGTACAAGGCTACCTCAGTGAGACTGGGAAGGCCTGCGCTGTAGATGGGATAGTGCCCGGCCACCCAGAGGAAGTCGGCCGTGCTGGAATTCCTCAGCCCAAAACTGCAGGGTTTAGGGTGTAGAGTGTAGGACCCGATCCCTGTGTGCTCTTTCCCCCTCCCCCAACCCAACGCGGCAATCAGCCAACTCGCCTGGGAGTGCCGAAAGCCCGAAACTCTTTAAAAAACTCCGGAGGCCCAGCCTGTAAACCCCCAACCTCTAGACCCCACACCTTTGGGTTTAGGGGAGGCTATATGCTCAAGAGCCTAGGGTTGTGAGCTGCGTGTCTTTTGGGTCTGGGGGGTCTGGGGTTTAGGGTTTCGGGTGAGGGCTTAAGGGGCATGGGGGTTTCGTGGCTTTGGGCTTGTTGGGAGTCCCGCTGCAGCATAGGCTCAGCTTCTCTGCGAGCCATTGCCACTCAGCCTCCTGCAGTCTTTTGCCGGGGGGTAAGAGCCACTCTAAACCCGAAACACTAAAACTGAGCCCTAACTCTAAACCCATTTATGCGCTCAGGCTTTGGGCTTCAGGGGGCTTCGGGGATTGCTGTCTATTTGAAGCCAGGGTGCCGCATGCACTGTGCTGTGAGGCCCGGGCAATTCACAGCCCAGGCAGCTGTCATCGCTGGGACCTCACTTGGGCGTGGGCTTGAGGGTCTTGGGGGGGCCCAGGGTTGAGGGTTTAGGGGCTTCGGCCCTTTAGAGCCTTTTGGGGGCCTTTAGGGCTTTGGTGGGCTTTAAGCGTTAAAGCCCTAAACCCTCAAACCCTAAACCCCTAAACCCCTAAACCCCTAAACCCTGAACCCCTAAACCCTAAACCCTAAAACCCTACAAACCCTCCTCCGCTGCCTGCCAGGAGTATCGTGTCCAGCATCAGCAGCTCCAGGGTCCGTGGGGCGCCCGTGCTGGCCTGAATGGGCCCAATTGCGGCTCCGGGCTTTCTGGGGGGCGCTTAGGGTTTAGGGTTTAGGGTTTAAGGTTTAGGGTTTAGGGATGTTTAGGGTTTAGGGTTGAGGGCTTAAGCTTTGTTCAAGAGAAGAGGAGTTTGGGGTGCTTCGGGAGGGGGTCCAACTCGCGCGGCGAACCGAGGAGAGGATGGCGCCTTCCAGTCGTAGGTGAGGTTGTAGTACAGGGAGGGAAAGTTCCACTGCCTGGAGTCCCGTGAGTACGCGAGCTGCGCCGACACGTTGCCACGGTGGTCGTGGTTGCCTTGGGAACCCAAAAACTGGGAGCTCACCCCGGAATCCCTCATAAACCCATCACAATACCCAGAAACGACACCCATGCTGGGTACGGGAAGCAGCTGGAGGCTAAACTACATGGCCAACTACATTGGGCCCCCAGTTCCAGGCACCTGCTGTGTAGATGGGGTCCTTTGGGAGAAGAAAGGGTTCCGGGATTCAGGGCTCATGGATTTAGGGTTTAGGATTTAGGGTTTAGGGTTTAGGGTTTAGGGTTTTGGGGTTTAGGGTTTAGGGTTTCCAGGAGGTCCCCGCCTGCCACCACCCAGAAGGGGAGGTCCGGCAGGTCTCCCTTGCAGTAAACCTCCTCGAAGGTTTCCTTGGGAGCAATGGAGGCCGATTAAACTCAAGGAATCATACATCTCCGAAATATGGGCCCGTTTAAGTCCCCAAAAAATCTCTAAAGAGGGTCCCAAACCCCAAGGGTGCAACCTCATGGGTCCGTGATAAACCCCAGGCCCTAAACCCCAAACCCCAAACCATTCCACCCTCCCAACTGCCGCAGAGGTTTAGGGTTTCGGGTCTATGGCACCTGAATAGGACACAAGAAGGAACGCCTAACTTTGCGAGTTGAGGCTTACGGGGGGTTAAGGCAACCCTAAACTCTATAGTAAGTGGCGAAAACCCTAAAACCCTTAAACCCTAAACCCTAAACCCTAAAGCCCTAAACCCTAAAACCCTAAACCCTAAACTCTAAAAACCCTAAACCCAGGCGCGCTAAACCGCGGTGAGTTTGTGCTCTGCACGCCGTGGTCGTAGAAGTTGTCGCCAAGCCTGGGATGCCGGGTTTAGAGGCTTCGGGCCGTTGGGCTTAGAGGTTTAGGGTTTAGGGTTTAGGGTTTAGGGTTTAGGGTTTAGGGTTTAGGGTGTAGAGGTTTAGAGTCAGGGTCCTGGTCAAGGTGTGGGATGGCGCGGGGGGGCTTGGAATCTAAGATCCTCGGACCACATAGAACCCTGCAACCCTCACACCCCACCCGCAAAGAAGACTCAAGACTCAAGACCAGAAAACCTAGATGAACCCTAAACCCTAAACCCTAAACGCTAAACCCTAAACCCTAAACCAAAAACCCTAAACCTAAACCCTAAACCCTAGCCCTAAACCCTAAACCCTGCTAAACCCCAATGAGCCCGAGATGGCTGAGGCTTCGGGGGAACCAGGACTCCGAATTGATGAAAGCAAATAGGGCCCCCAAATCCTTGAGAACCTAAACCCTAAACCCTAAACCCTAAACCCCCCAATACCCCCCAATACCCCCCCCCCCAAACCCCCAAACCCTAAAGCTTCTGCACTCCTTGCGAACTCCTTGCAAGCACAGGAAGCAGGAGAACCATTTCGGCACCCTTGTCCTTGGCGACCTTGGCCATGCCAGCGGCGGCTTCGACCTCTCTTGGCAGCTGTTCAGGCCAAGACATAAACCCTAAACCCTAAACCCTACGCCCTAAACCCTAAACCCTAAACCCCCAAACCCCAAAACCAGCCGAAACTGCAGGGGCGTGTAGGGTTCAAACCAGCAGCACCATGAGCCCTACAACCCTTGCAGCCCTCAACCCTCTAGACTCTGAAAGGCTCCGCCTGTCCATGGGTTGTGGGATGATGGTCACTGTGACCGCCCCAGTCGCCCACAGCCAAGAAACTGGCAGGGAATTCAGGCTTCGAGCTTCGGGTCCAGGAAACTTTTTGGGGTTTAGGAATGTTTCGGGTTTGGACACGCGGTTCGGAATGTGAGAAACAGGATGCTTTGCGGCTGTGTAGTGTGGAGCTGTAGGCCCGAAACCCTCAACCCTGAACCCGAAACCCTAAACCCTAAGCTCCCTTACAGGGTTTCGGGTCTTGCCGAGTACGGAAGGGCCGACGCGAAACCGCTAAAGCTCGAGACGGGGGGTTTCGGGCGGGTTTAGGGTTTGGGGTTTGGGGTTTGGGGTTTGGGGTTCTGGGTTTGGGGCTTGGGGTTTGGGGTTGGGGGTTTGGGTTTGCATTTCGTTAGAAAATAAAGTGTTTGGGGGATGTTGTAGCCACCTCGAGCTTAGAAGGGTCCTGCATTGCCTCAACCCTCATACCCAATATGAACCCTAAGCTCCACTGAAGCCCCCTGAACCCCAGGGAACCTCCACTAAACCCCCACCCCACCCCACCAAGCCTCACTATGCCCTGCTGAACCCAAACCCTTAACCCTTCAGATGCACACCTCAACCCCAAACCTTAAACCCTAAACCCCAAATCCTAAACCCCAAACCCTAAACCCTAAACCCTGAACCCTGAACCCTACACCCGAAACCCTAACCAAAGAAGGGCCTCGGCCCAGCCCAAACGGCTGGAAGCAAGGGCAGCAGCGCGCGCAGCCGGGCCATGGCCATCGCGCGAGACCCACGCCGGGAACTCTTGTTCAAAGCGGCGGAACCTACGGGCCAACGGGAGCCGCAAGCGCGCGGAACTCAAAAAGAACAAAACTCGAAGCTCCCTGAAGCCGAAGCCCTTGAGTCGCTGCAAAAAAGCAGGCCCAGGAAGCCCTCAACCTGACCCGAATCCCTATAAACCTCTCACCCTTGAACCCTTCCAAGTTCAAGGGCTTCAGGAGGCTTAGGGTTCAGGGTTTAGGGCTTAGGGCCTAGGGCTTAGGGCTTAGGGTGTAGGGCTCAGGGCTCAGGGCTTAGGGTTCAGGGCCTACCAAACCCGCACAGATAAGCACAAACCCAGGTGGCGGCCTCCCACACGTCGTCCTCGGCATCGGGGCCGGTCCCGGGAGGGCCTCGCGTTTCGGGCGGCGGGCTTGGGGGCCATGAGATTCTGGAGTGCAGGGTCGTGAACCCCAAAAAGCCACCAAAAAATCACCAACCAAAAACAGGGTAAACTACAAAAAAACATATGTAAAAAAAAAAAATATATATATATATATATATATATATATATATATATATACGTATAGAGTAAAACAAAAAACTGGCCCCCACGACCCCAAACTCCTAAACTGAACTGCTTTCGACCTGCCAGGGTTCCTGTATTCGGGCCCCTGCTTCCTTCTATTCAAGGCAGAAGTACCCATAAAGAGGCTTAGGGGCCCAGAAACCCTAAACCCTGTCTACCCTGAAGTCGAAACCCGAAAACGTGAAACCCTTAAACCCTTCAAACACTTCAAACCCTAAACCCCAACCCCAAAACCCTGAAACCCAAAAACCTTTGAAACCCTGAAACCTGTAAACTCCGAACCCTGAAACCTAAACCTTTCCACCCTAAACCCTCAACCCTAAACTAAATCTGAAACCCGAAACCCTGCAACACCCTTGACCCCTCAACTCGGCAGCCACCTGGCGCAACCTCGTCGGTGGTAACCATGCGCTTCGCACTCTCGAGGAGCGATGACAGACCTGGGCTTTAGGGTTTAAGGTTTAGCGTTTAGGGTTTGGGGTCTATGTTTAAGGGTTTAGGGTTTAGGGTTTAGGGTTTAGGGTTTGGGGTTGGGGGTTTCGGGTTTAGGGTTTAGGGTTTAGGGTCTAGGGTTTAGGGTTTATGGCAGAGAGCATCATGAGCTTCAGTTCTTTTCCGGCCACATCCCTCTAGGCTCCAGACGCTGGCAAAAACCCACGGCCTTGACGAGGCGGGAGGAGAGCATCATGAGCATGAGCTGGGTTATTTTCCGGCCGCACCCCCGAGGATCCAGACGCTTGCAAAAACTCACGACCCCAGTGCTTCTGCAGATTTCACGAGGCGGGAGCAGCGCAGGTGTATGGGTCTCTCCCTCCCACCTCGTCAAATCTGCACAAGCACTGGGGCCGTGGGTTTTTTGCAAGCGCCTGGAGCCTAGGGGGCCATGTGGCCGGAAAATAACCCAGCTGATGCTCGTGATGCTCTCCCCCGCCTTGTCAAATTTGCACAAGCACGGAAATAACCATATCTGCACAAGGGACTGGAGTCGTGAGTTTCTGCAAGCGTCTGGAGCCTAGGGGGCCATGCCGGAAAATAACCCAGCTGATGCTCATGATTCTCTCCTCCCGCCTCATCAAATCTGGACCTGGAGTCGTGGGTTTTGCAAGCGTCTGGATCCTAGGGGGTGTAGGGGGCCATGTGGGCGGACAATAACCAGCTGATGCTCATGATGCTCTCCTCCCGCCTCGTCAAATCTGCACAAGCACTGGTGTCATTGGCTTTTGCAAGCGTCTGGAGCCTAGGGGGCCATGTGGCCGGAAAATAACCCAGCTGATGCTCATGATGCTCTCCTCCCACCTAGCACGGAAAATAACACAGCTGATGCTCATGATGCTCTCCTCCCGCCTCGTCAAATCTGCACAAGCACGGCAAACAAAACAGCTGATGCTCATGATGCTCTCCTCCCGTCTCGTCAAATCTGCACAGTCGTGGGTTTTTGCAAGCGTCTGTTGGGGTCGTGAGTTTCTGCAAGCGTCTGGAGCCTAGGGGGCCATGCCGGAAAATAGCCCAGCTGATGCTCATGATGCTCTCCTCCCGCCTCGTCGAATCTGCACAAGCACTGGGGTCATGGTTTTCTTGCAAGCGTCTGGAGCCTGGGGGGCATGTGGCCGGAAAATATCCCAGCTGATGCGCATGATGCTCACCTCCCGCCTCGTCAAAACTGCACAAGCACCCGGAAGCCCAAACCCAAAACACCTAAATCCTCAACCCGCCGTGGGGTGCAGGGCCTGAGGTTGCTTCCGCGAGGCTTTGAAAACTCGTGGACTTAGCAAAGAATGCCCAAGTGATTTTGTGAGGGTCAGGGCGCCAAATTATGTAAACTTAGGGTCTTAGGATGAGGGTTCAGAGTGGAGTGGGGCTAAAGGGTTCAGGGTTCAGGGTTTCAAGGCTGTTGGGTTTCAGGGGTTCAGGGCTCTGGGTTCAGGGTTTTGGGGTTTCAGGGTTCAGGCTTCAGGCTTCAGGCTTCAGGGTTTTAGGGTTTCGGGTTTAGGGTTTAGGGTTTAGGGGTGTGGGGCTTCCCTGGGGCTCCGGCCATCCTTTTCCGGACTCTTCGGGTCCTCCTTGGCATCCTTGGGGGGCTCCTCGGTTTTCGGGCTTAGGGTGTAGGGTTAGGGTTTAGGACTTGGGGGTTCGAGGGGCTGCGGGGTGAGGGTCTCCCGAAACCCGGAACCCGAAACCCGAAATACCACAAGTGAGTACCTGACAAACGTTGTTAGACTTCCGTCGACTCATCAGTGCCCGCTGTTTCCGAGAGAAGGGCCCCGTTTTGGGAGTTCCTGGAATAGCGGGAATAGCGGAGGTAATTCATGGGAGGTCCTACAATTTCGATTGTGGTGTTTGGGGGCTTTGCTCGGGCGAACCCTTTTTGGGAGGATTCTCCACTTCAAATTCCCATGCGGCTCCGCGTCCTCGTTGCAGGCACCCGCCTCTTCGCCGCCAGCTGGCGCGCCTCCGCACACGCTAAACCCTCAACCCTCAACCCTGCACTCCTGAACCCCGAAACCCTAAACCCTGAAACCCCGAACCCCTGAAACCCGAAACCCTTAAACCCTGGACCCTGAAACCCTGAAACCCTGAAACCCTTAAACCCTGAAACGCGAAACCCCGAAACACATAAACCCGGAAACCCTGCAACACTTAAACCCGGAAACCCCGAAACCCTGAAACCCTGAAACCCTTAAACCCTGAAACCCTGAAACCCTTAAACCCTGAAACCCTGAAACCCTGAAACCCTTCAACCCTGAAACGCGAAACCCTGAAACCCTGAAACGCGAACACTTAAACCCTTAAACCCTGAAACGCGAAACCCTGAAACACTTCAACCCGGAAACCCGAAACCCTGAAACCCTTAAACCCGGAAACCCTAAACCCTGAAACCCTTAAACCCGGAAACCCTAAACCCGGAAACCCTGAAACCCTGAAACCCGGAAACCATAAACCCTAAACCCGGAAACCCTAAACCCTAAACCCTAAACCCTTCAACCCTGAAACCTGACGAGACCGAAAGGCGGGAACTCCCGGATCGGGCCTTGTGACGCCTGCGAAGTCTGGGTGGCCTCCGAGGCATCCTCGGTGCGTTTAGAAGTTTACGCTCTTAGGGTTTAGGGTTTAGGGTTTAGGGTTTAGGGTTTAGGGTTTAGGGTTTCGGGTTTCGGGTTTAGGGTTTAGGGTTTAGGGTTTAGGGTTTAGGGTTTAGGGTTTAGGGTTTAGGGTTTAGGGTTTAGGGTTTAGGGTTTAGGGTTTAGGGACTCTTATAAGGGACCTTGGGGGTAGTATTATATAGGGGAAGATTAAGGGTTCCTTCTAGGGGTCCCTCCTTATGCCCCTCAATACTCTGAATGTGGGGCCTCACACAGGCTCCAACGCACCCACGGCTGCCACATATCGTGGAAGTCTAGCTGCATGGAGATCTTTTTTTCCGGATGCGTGTGGTCGCCTTGTTGAGTCGCGAAGCGGAACCTTGTGCTCACATTATGCACGGACCGCCACGCGGCTCTGTAAGCAAAAGGCACGGCACGAATTCCAGTCGGACCTTTAAACATCTGTGGCTTTTGAGAAGCCGATGGAACGATTCATCCTCTGTTCGGATGTGTTCCTATCCCACAAGGGGAGCTCTGCCTTTTCTAAGCCCGAGAACCCACCCTAAACCCTAAACCCTAAACCCTAAACCCTAAACCCTAAACCCTCAACAGCCATTGCAATTGTAGGCGATTTTTTGGCCCTTAGCCGGTGCAGGGCTACATCCCCTCGGTGTGCAGATCATCTTCGCCCACTCGCCGGCCTTCTCGGGGCCGCAACAGCGCTCGGCGAGCTGCCAGCACCCTTCCCCGTCCTCAACGGTAGCAATTTAGCAATAGAGTAATAGAGTAATGGAGTAATAGAGAAATAGAGAAATAGAGTAATAGAGTAATAGAGAAATAGAGACATAGAGAAATAGAGTAATAGAGAAATAGAGAAATAGAGTACTAGAGTAATCGAGAAATAGAGTAATAGAGTAGAAGAGTAATAGAGCAATAGAGTAAGAGAGTAATATAGTAATATAGCAATATAGCAATATAGCAATACAGCAATATAGTAATATAGTATTATCTGTCCTCAACCGTGGTCTCGCCCTTGTCTGGCATGGGTGGTCGCGGCGTAGTCGTCGCGGGCGCAATGCCCACAGCTGCCAGCCACTCGTTGAAATGCTTCTCGCGAGCTGGGTTGGAGCTCGGATCCGCGGGCCGAATCGCTTCCAGGGCAGACTTGAAGGTGTGCTCCTTGTTCCACGCCGCCGAGTTGTGCTGCCAGTAGCCGATGGTCGTCACCCACGCATTTTGCGCACTGTCACAGATGAAGTCCTTATACTTCCCATATAGCATCACTTAGGACTCAGAAGCTCAAACCCCCAAGCTGCTGCAAAACAAGAAAGTGCTGGCTCTTTGAGCTGCGAGAGTCGGGGTTCTTGCAAAGGTCCACGCCGGTGATCTTCGCAACGATGGGCTTCACCAGCTGGTAGTTCCCCGGCCACGTGACTTGCGTCGCGCCTCTCCCGAACCAGCAGTTCTTGGGATCCAGCTGCTGTCCCCAGAAGTCGGTGCATCCGTCAGGGGGAGCCGTCAGCCCATCACACTCGGTGATGGTAAATTGTGCTTTCTTGGCATTCACGGAGTTGTAGTGATCTGTCGTCCCTGCGGAGCAGCCACCGCGGCAGCCCGGTATGTCATGGCACGGGCAAGTCCCATCAGGCCTGGACAGCCTTTCTTTGCAAGCTGTCCAATGCAAGGTTTCAGACTTCACGTTGGCCATTAAAGCGATGACGGTCATGGCATTGAATTTGGCATCGCTCTCTCCCAGATAGGGAGTCTGATGTGCACCTTTGGCCCATTTGTTGTAGACACAGACCCCTTTCAAGTAGTCCTTCCATGTGTAGAAAGCGGGCATCCCTTCCCAAGGCTCCCCCAGGCTGAAAAGGTTCCCGGTCTTCCCCATCTTCTGGCCATACTCCGACCTGAGAAGTGCCTGCACCTCTGGGCAGTCCCCTTCAAAGGCATGGACAAGAAGCGCCGTCTCCTCCACATCGCACTCATCACAAGTTGCCGACCCCGAGGTCACCGCCTCAACCACGCCCAGCAGCAACAACAACGAGAACATGGCGAGACAAAAGCAAGCTCGCCCTCTTTGCGGTGCTCCGCGCATTTTGGGCCGATTTGCTGACCCGGTCATCATCATGCGGGAGTACCCAAAATAAAACCTAAACCCAAAATTCAACACCTGAACCCTACGGTCTAAACCTCACAGGTACACTGTTACAGGAACACGTAGTTGGCCCTACACCCGAAGCCACCCCAAACCCCTAAAGCCCCAGAACCCCAAATCCTTGGAACCCCAAACCCTAAAAGCCCTTAACCCTGAAACCCTAAAGCTTAAACCCTAAACCCTAAACCCTAAACCCGAAACCCTAAACCCTAAACCCTAAACCCTAAACTCCAACAACAGCCCATGAATGACGGCCGAGCCACACTGTGCCGCCGGTGCTGGGACGGCTCGGCCGCCGCCGTCCTGGGAGGCGCCTGCGGCACGACGGCGGGGCTTACGGCTTAGGGCTTAAGGCTTAGGGCTTAGGGCTTAGGGCTTGGGGCTTGGGGCTTAGGGCTTAGGGCTTAGGGCTTAGGGCTTAGGGCTTAGGGCTTAGGGCTTAGGGTTTAGGGCTTCGGGCTTAGGGCTTAGGACTTAGGGCTAAGGGCTTAGGGCTTAGGGCTTAGGGCTAAGGGCTTAGGGCTTAGGGCTTAGGGTTTAGGGTTTAGGGTTTAGGGTTTAGGACTTAAGGCGCTTAAGGCTTTGGACTTTGGGCTTTGGACTTTGGGGTGTGAGGTTTGGGGAACAGGATGGAACTGAAAGAACGGGAGGGTCTTGGGCATCGCTTGGGTATCTCGAGGATGCCCAGCGCCAGGGCTTGGGGTTTGAGATGGTTGTCACGCTTTTGGGCGTCAGGCGGGGGGCTTTTGCTTAGGCCTTCAGTGCCTGCAGGGCTTTTAAGGTTTCCCGCATGCGTGTTAAGTGTCTTTTTGGGCTTCATGCTTGAGGCCTTTGGGCTTCAGGGACCCGCGCCTCCTTCGGCACTGGGTCGAAGGGGACGGGCTCGCGCTGGGGCGCCTTCTCCCTGGTCGGCTTTGCGGTTAGTCTTAGACTCTAGATCCCCCTTACAGGGGCCCTGCCAGATTCAGACCCCAACCGCGCCTCCTCTTTGCGTCCGCCTGCATGGTTTAGGGGTTTAGGGTTTAGGGATTTTTTCGGGCCTACAGCATCCTAGGCACGAAAGCATTCTGGGCCTAGGGTAGGGCTGTCGTAGCTCAAGGGTTTAGCGCTCCATTGTTTAGGGTTTGTGTGCAGGGTTTAGGGTCCAGGGCTTAGGGTTTCTCACGGCAAGACGCCGACAGCAATCAAATCGCGGGCACGTAGGTTGAGGCTGTCGGGTTCAGGATTTAGGGTGTATCCTTTGCTTGTGTTAGCGTCGGGGCTGTTTCAGGGTTCACCTGCCTTGGGCTTCCCTCTCTGATTCTCTGGCGCCTGCGCCGCAGGGAAAGGCCACAGCAGACAAAAGGGCGATGGAGGGCTTGGGGTTTTGGTGTTTGGGGTTTAAGGTTGGTTTAGGGTTCAGGGTTTAGGGTTTAGGGTTTAGGGTTTAGGGTTTAGGGTTTAGGGTTTAGGGTTTAGGGTTTAGGGTTTAGGGTCTAGGGTTTAGGGTTTAGGGTTTTTAGGGTTCAGGGTTCAGGGTTCAGGGTTTAGGGTTTAGGGTTTAGGGGTCCTTCTGACCTTACTTCGAGCCACTCCGAAATCACCGCTAAAGCCCTCAATCCCCGCACGTCCCCTCTCAATCTCTCAAAGTTCCGGCAAGACATGCCTCAGTTGCCAAAACGAACCCCTAAGGCCCAAGAAGCCTCCATTCCCATAAACCCCAAACCCTAAACCCAAAACCAAGGGAACCAAAACCCAACTGAGAACAACGATGACGGGTCCCAGCGGTTGCAACCCCGAAGCCCTGGCAGCAATTGGGGTGAGGGTTCCGGGTTTGGGGGTTTGGGGGTTTGGGAGTTTGGGGGTTTGGGGGTTTGGTGTTGGGGTTTGGGGTTTGGGGTTTAGGGGGGTTTGGGTTTAGAGGCACCTGGCGCGCCACGAGCTGCAGAAGGGCGTCCGCATTTTCTGAGGCTGCGAGGCACCACCGCCGCTGCTCTGGGCACGGAAGGGGGTGGGGGAGGATAGGCAACAATTTGGGATTTAGGGTTTAGGGTTTTTAGGGTTCAGGGTTCAGGGTTCAGGGTTCAGGGTTTAGGGTTTAGGGTTTAGGGTTTAGGGTTTAGGGTTTAGGGTTTAGGGTTACAGGTCTTCTTGCTTTGTTCCTTTTTTTCTGCAGGGGGCGTGCGCGAGCTGCAACCCCCAGCCCCCTCCGCCACAGGCAAAGCTGAGCTTGGCTTCCCAGGACTTATAAGCCACTTATCTATACGCCCCCTAAGTGCCCTAATATGGTTATAAGTACAGTAATAAGTATAACCCACTTCTCAGCCCCCTAAGTGCCCTCATATGGTTATAAGTATAGTACTAAGTATAACCCACTTATAAGCCCCCTAAGCGCCCTAATATGGTTGTAGGTACAGTAATAAGTAAACATAATTGGTTAATGGCTCCAGACCCCTGCAGTCAGAGTCAGGGCTTGAGGATACTTCCCCTCGTGTTCCGAGTGAGTTGGTCTCAACCCGCCCGAACCCTGAACCCCAAAGCCTCATCCCTAAACCCTAAACCCTAAACCCTGAACCCTGAACCCTAAACCCGAAACCCGGCAAACCTCCCCCGATGCCAGGTGCGCAGCTGACCAGGAAGTGGGGGGAGTACTTCTGGGACTCCAGAACCTGGGCGCTTTCAGGGTGTAGGAGCTTTTGCTGACTCCTATAAACCCCCAAAACCCCAATACCCCCAAACCCCAGTTACACCACCGAAGACCCCAAACAGTCAAAGGCACGTCAAAGAAACAGTGGAGACAACGGGAGACAAAAGGACACACGAAGGGAGACGAGGAGCACGGCAACCCCGCAAAGCCACCCACATGCAGGGAGACAAAGGGAGACAAAGGGAGACAAAGGGAGACAAAGGGAGACAAAGGAAGACAAAGGAAGACAAAGGGAGACAAAGGGAGACAAAGGGAGACAAAGGGAGACGAAGGAAGACAAAGGGAGACAAGGAGCCCAGGAACCCGGCAACAGTCCTCAGAACGTCGGCAAGCCTTGAATGAATATAGAACCCCAACAGCAGACTGTTTGGGGAAAAACCAAAAACAAAAGGCCCCGACTGTTTGGGGAAAAAACCAAAAAACAGAAGGCCGAAGCCCCAAAGCCCCAAAACCAAAACCCTCAAACCCCCATAACCACAAAGCCCGGAAACCCTGAAACCCCAAACCTCTAGAACCGCAAACCCCCCATCACCACAAAGCCCTAAAACCCCAATCACCGCAGTCTTGGGGCTTCAAGGTTTAGGGTTTAGGGTTTAGGGTTTAGGGTTTAGGGTTTAGGGTTTAGGGTTTAGGGTTTAGGGTTTAGGGTTTAGGGTTTAGGGTAAGGCCCGGGAAATGCCCGGGGCGATTCCAGGAGAGAAGCAGGGTTGAGCGTTCGGGATGTAGGTTTAGGGTTCTGCAGGGTGTAGGATGTGGGGTTTAGGATGTAGGGTTTAGGGTTTAGGGTTTAGGATTTAGGGTTTCGGGTTCGGGGTTTCAGGGGTCCACATTTCAAAACCTGTCCCCAGAGATGAGGGTTTACGGTTTGAGATGTGGCCCATTTCCCATCGGGCGTGGCCCCTGAACCTCTCAACCCCTCAGCCCCTCAACCCCTAAACCTCTATCCCCACCCCTAAATCCCTAAACCCTAAACCCGAAACCCTAAACCCCTAAACCCTCATTCCCTAAAGCCAGCAAAACTGGGATCTCCCCGCCGTCGCGGGAAAGAACGGATCGGGAAGAGGCTCCTTCTCTTTGCTGGGGCCTGCACCGTTCAGGGTTTAGGGTTTAAGGTTTCAAGGCTTCGGGTTTAGGGCTTAGGGTTTTACGTTTTATGCCTTAGGGTTCAGGCATTGCCCGAGTTGAAGTCCAGGGTTTACTGCTTGGCGGGGCCCTAAACCCTAAACCCTAAACCCCTAAACCCTAAACCCCTAAACCCTAAACCCTAAACCCTAAACCCTAAACCCTAAACCCTAAACCCTAAACCCTGGATTTGGGTTGGGGCTTCACGGGATTCGGGGTTGTGGTGGAGGCGAGAGGTGCAGGAGCCGCGCCTGCTTGCCGCTCGGCCGCGCGTGGGGGCCTCGCCGGCAGGCCTGTCACACGGGACAAGGCTTTGGGGTTTGGGGTTTGGGGTTGGGGTTTGAGGGTTTGGGGTTTGGGGTTTAGGGTTTAGGGTTTAGGGTTTAGGGTTTAGGGTTTAGGGTTTAGGGTTTAGGGTTTAGGGTTTAGGGTTTAGGGTTTAAGGTTTAGGGTTTAGGATTTAGGGCGTGGGGCCCAGAACATCGGTCGACCGCGACGCATGGCGACAGGGGCATATGACAGCGCACTGACAGCCCAGAAAACACTTTACAGGCCCTCGGTTTGTTCAACGACAACCCACAACCCCAACTCCCAAAAAATATCCCTAAACCCTAAACCCTGAACCCTAAACCCCGACGTAGTAACACCCTAGAGAGCCCTAAAAAACCCCTGGAAGCACCCAACCCCCCCTAAACGCCCATACCCCACCCACCTGGCTTCGTCTCGGGGGCTGCCCGGGTCGGCGACCTGGCTAAGTGAAAGATGAAGCTCAGGGTTTGTGCACAACTTTAACATGGTGTTTTTTACACGAATGCTTGCAAGGGTTTAGGATTCTTTGCATTTTGTTAAGTTTAGGGTTCAGGGCTTAGGCTCTGGGATTTTGGGGTTTAGGGCTTAGGTCTTGGGTTTCGGGCTGGCTGGGTTTGGACCCTAAACCCTGATCCGCTCAAGCTCTAAAACCTCCAGGCAGGGTCGAGGAATCGGGGCTTATGGCTTCTGCGGGTAGAGAAATTGCAAGACAAGTTGTGTTAAAGGGTACGGGGCTAGGGCATCACATCGTTGGGATGAAAATACAGCTTTGCCGGGTACCAGACAAAGTGTCGGACAGAGTTGAAGGCCATACAATCATTTGGGTTTTCCGGTTTAGGGTTTTGGCATTAGGCGCGTTCTCTGCAAATATACGGTATTGTGGACTCATCACGAGCGCCTATCTGCTGGGAACCGTGGTACTGGTCATGCAAACATCAGCTCACCCGTGTCAAGCAGCAATACATGCAGTTTCGCATCAGACAAAGTGTCGGAACTAATTGCTCCTCAAGGCCAGGGCCATCAGAGAGCTGGGATTAGATTTTGTCATCACACCACGGCCACCACAAGCATTCACAAGGCATGCAAGAAACCCGGATCGACTCATTGCGTATCCCGACAGGAAGTAAACGCCACATGTCCGCGGATCAGACAAAGTGTCGGAACTGATTGCTCCTCAAGGCCAGGGGCATCAGAGAGCTGGGATTAGATTTTTGTCATCATCCGGACAATTCTAAACATGCTTTACGCACACTGCAGGTGCATGGCGATAGCTTCGCACTCAGCCCACTACTCTTGACGCTTGACCTCTACATCTGATGTTCAGAAGAGGTGTAGCATAATGTGGTCTCATCACGAGCGCCCATCTGCCGGGAACCATCGTAGTGGTCGTGCAAACATCAGCTCACCCGTGTCAAGCAGCAATACATGCAGTTTCGCATCAGACAAAGTGTCGGAACTAATTGCTCCTCAAGGCCAGGGCCATCAGAGAGCTGGGATTAGATTTTGTCATCACACCACGGCCACCACAAGCATTCACAAGGCATGCAAGAAACCCGGATCGACTCATTCCGAATCCCAACAGGAAGTAAACGCCACATGTCCGCCGATCAGACAAAGTGTCGGAACTAATTGTTCCTCAAGGCCAGGGGCATCAGAGAGCTGGGATTAGATTTTGTCATCATCCGGACAATTCTAAACATGCTTTACGCACACTGCAGGTGCATGGCGATAGCTTCGCACTCAGCCCACTACTCTTGACGTTTGACCTCTACATCTGATGTTCAGAAGAGGTGTAGCATATTGTGGTCTCATCACGAGCGCCTATCTGCTGGGAACCGTGGTACTGGTCATGCAAACATCAGCTCACCCGTGTCAAGCAGCAATACATGCAGTTTCGCATCAGACAAAGTGTCGGAACTAATTGCTCCTCAAGGCCAGGGCCATCAGAGAGCTGGGATTAGATTTTGTCATCACGCCACGGCCACCACAAGCATTCACAAGGCATGCAAGAAACCCGGATCGACTCATTGCGTATCCCGACAGGAAGTAAACGCCACATGTCCGCGGATCAGACAAAGTGTCGGAACTGATTGCTCCTCAAGGCCAGGGGCATCAGAGAGCTGGGATTAGATTTTTGTCATCATCCGGACAATTCTAAACATGCTTTACGCACACTGCAGGTGCATGGCGATAGCTTCGCACTCAGCCCACTACTCTTGACGTTTGACCTCTACATCTGATGTTCAGAAGAGGTGTAGCATTTTGTGGTCTCATCACGAGCGCCTATCTGCCGGGAACCATGGTAGTGGTCATGCAAACATCAGCTCACCCGTGTCAAGCAGCAATACATGCAGTTTCGCATCAGACAAAGTGTCGGAACTAATTGCTCCTCAAGGCCAGGGCCATCAGAGAGCTGGGATTAGATTTTGTCATCACACCACGGCCACCACAAGCATTCACAAGGCATGCAAGAAACCCGGATCGACTCATTGCGTATCCCGACAGGAAGTAAACGCCACATGTCCGCGATCAGACAAAGTGTCGGAACTGATTGCTCCTCAAGGCCAGGGGCATCAGAGAGCTGGGATTAGATTTTGTCATCATCCGGACAATTCTAAACATGCTTTACGCACACTGCAGGTGCATGGCGATAGCTTCGCACTCAGCCCACTACTCTTGACGTTTGACCTCTACATCTGATGTTCAGAAGAGGTGTAGCATATTGTGGTCTCATCACCAGCGCCCATCTGCCGGGAACCATCGTAGTGGTCATGCAAACATCAGCTCACCGTGTCAAGCAGCAATACATGCAGTTGCGCATCAGACAAAGTGTCGGAACTAATTGCTCCTCAAGGCCAGGGCCATCAGAGAGCTGGGATTAGATTTTGTCATCACACCACGGCCAACACAAGCATTCACACGGCATGCAAGAAACCCGGATCGACTCATTCCGAATCCCGACAGGAACTAAACGCCACATGTCCGCGGATCAGACAAAGTGTCGGAACTAATTGTTCCTCAAGGCCAGGGGCATCAGAGAGCTGGGATTAGATTTTGTCATCATCCGGACAATTCTAAACATGCTTTACGCACACTGCAGGTGCATGGCGATAGCTTCGCACTCAGCCCACTACTCTTGACGTTTGACCTCTACATCTGATGTTCAGAAGAGGTGTAGCATTTTGTGGTCTCATCACGAGCGCCTATCTGCCGGGAACCATGGTAGTGGTCATGCAAACATCAGCTCACCCGTGTCAAGCAGCAATACATGCAGTTTCGCATCAGACAAAGTGTCGGAACTAATTGCTCCTCAAGGCCAGGGCCATCAGAGAGCTGGGATTAGATTTTGTCATCACACCACGGCCACCACAAGCATTCACAAGGCATGCAAGAAACCCGGATCGACTCATTCCGAATCCCGACAGGAAGTAAACGCCACATGTCCGCGGATCAGACAAAGTGTCGGAACTAATTGTTCCTCAAGGCCAGGGGCATCAGAGAGCTGGGATTAGATTTTGTCATCATCCGGACAATTCTAAACATGCTTTACGCACACTGCAGGTGCATGGCGATAGCTTCGCACTCAGCCCACTACTCTTGACGTTTGACCTCTACATCTGATGTTCAGAAGAGGTGTAGCATATTGTGGTCTCATCACGAGCGCCTATCTGCCGGAACCATGGTAGTGGCCATGCAAACATCAGCTCACCCGCGTCAAGCAGCAATACATGCAGTTGCGCATCAGACAAAGTGTCGGAACTAATTGCTCCTCAAGGCCAGGGCCATCAGAGAGCTGGGATTAGATTTTGTCATCACACCACGGCCACCACAAGCATTCACAAGGCATGCAAGAAACCCGGATCGACTCATTCCGTATCCCGACAGGAAGTAGACGCCACATGTCCGCGGATCAGGCAAAATGTCGGAATCGTTGCAGCTTACTCGCTCGCGTCTTCAAAGTCCCTAAACCCTCCCTCAACCCGAACTCCCCCTGGAGAGAACTGGCCCCGCTTTGCTTACTCGCTGGGTGTGCAAGCCTCACACTCCCCGCTATTGCGAACCTTTAAGCCAGAACTCCAAGCCCTAAAACCCGGGAACCCCCTACTGACGCTGATCCGGGGTCTTTGAAAACCCTGAAAAGACTCCCCAAGCCCGCAACGCAGGCAAAAAAACTCCCGAGCCTGCAAAGAAAGCCTCTCAAAGGATTGAGCTCTTCGGGTTCAAGGACTCCTTTCCTTCGGGTCTGGGGTTCAGGGTGCAGGGCTTCGAGTGCAAGGCTTGGGGCGTAGAGCTCAAAAAAGTTCGGGGCTTAGCAAAGCAGCCCAGGGCTCCAGGCACACCGGCGAGGGAGAGGCCCCGGAGACCGCCAAGCAGGAGAAACAGCGCAGCCAGCGCCTTCAAAAACGTGTCTTGATCCGGCTGTTGCTGAGGAGCTGAGGAGCTGAGGAGCTGAGGAGTTGAGGAGCTTTGGGGGTTCTTGGGGGTTCTTGGGGGTTCTTGGGGGTTCTTGGGGGTTCTTAGGGGGTTCTTGGGGGTTCTTGGGGGTTTTGGGAGTTCTTGGGGGTTCTTGGGGGTTCTTGACGTTTCTTGAAGGTCTTCTTGGGGGCTTTCTTGGGGCTTCTTGGGGGAAGGTTGGGTCCAGGTGCCCTGGCCTGAAGCTGCGGAAAGGCATCCTGGCTGCACAGCGCCTGGGAGAGAGCAGGCGGTGGGGAGGGCTGAATCCCTTCTGGGTAGTTTAGGGTTTCGGGTTTAGGGTTTAGGGTTTGGGGTTTAGGGTTTAGGGTTTAGGGTTTTAGGGTTTCGGGTTTAGGGTTTAGGGTTTAGGGTTTAGGGTTTAGGGTTTAGGGTTTAGGGTTTTAGGTTTAGGGTTTAGGGTTTGGGGTTTGGGGTTTGGGTTTGGGGTTTGGGGTTTGGGGTTTAGGGTTTAGGGTTTAGGGTTTAGGGTTTAGGGTTTAGGGTTTAGGGTTTAGGGTCCCTCCCTGATAAGCCCCAACGAGCCTTGTCTCACCCCTTCCTGCTTCTGAAAGCCAGCACTTGCCTCGAAGTTAAACAACCACCGCTTGAATTGGAATCCCAGGTGTGCCGCTGACCTCGGTCACAAGCGCCGCGCAGACAGAGGGCATGAGAACCTGAACAGTTAGGGTTTAGGGATAGGCTTTATGGTTTAGGATTTAGGGCTTAGGGTTTAGTTCCTAGCTGTATTGGGCAGACCCAGGGGGCGCACGTTGGACTAGCTTTCTGGGTAAAGATTGAAAAATAGGGCTTTGGGGTTAGAGGGCTTAAGGGGCTTTCAGCCGTGAAAAATATTCTTGTGCCATGGGTCAGAACCCGCGCAAAGCTTACGCATAATCATCACCACACGGTCGAGGCAAAAATTGCACAGAGCAGGCCCCATATGGCACCTTTATAAAGGACTTTTTTGGCGGCTCCAGGGCTCCAGGGTTCATTCCAGATCTCAGGACGTAGCTGATCCTGGACAGGGCTGCTATCGCCGCCAGCACGAGGATCGCCCCAGGTCACAATCGAGCCATCGCCGAGAATTGCGGCAAACGCACGGGCAGAACCGACGACGCGCTTGACGTTCCTGAGCTGCCCTTGGACAGCACAACTATCGCCACCAGCTTCAGGGTTGCCCCAGGTCACCGCTGTTCCATCAAGGAGGATGGCCGCAAACGCACTTGCCGAAGCTTCAATGTGCTTCACATTCCGAAGCTGGTCCTGGACAGAGCTGCTGTTGCCACCAGAATCAGCGTTCCCCCAGGTCACCACCGAGCCATCAGCCAGAATTGCGGCAAACGCGCCTGCAGAAGCTGCGATCTGCTGCACATGTCTCAGCTGCTCTTGGACACTCCTGCTGTCACCGCCACGTTCAGGGTTACCCCAGGTCACAACACGTCCGTTGCCGAGGGTCGCAGCAAACGCACTGGCGGAAGCTTGGATGTGCTTCACGTTCATAAGCTGGTCTTTAACGGCGCTGCTATCGCCACCACCTCCAGGACTGCCCCAGGTCACGACAGATCCGTCCCCCAGAACAGCAGCAAAAGCTCCTGCTGAAGCTTGGACTTGCTGCACTTTCTTCAGCTGGTCCTGGACAGACCTGCTATCACCACCGCGTTGGGCATGACCCCAAGTAACCACCGACCCCCTCGCCAGCACTGCCGCAAATGAACACTTGGTAGCTTGAATTTGCTTCACTTCCCTCAGCTGGCCCTGAACGGCCTCACAATCTCCCCCACGGTCAGCTCTGCCCCAGGTCACAACAGCTCCATCGCCGAGAATCGCCGCAAATGCACCAACTGAGGCTGATATTTGCTGTACATCCATCAGGTGCCGCTTGGCAGCACCACTATCACCACCGTGCTGTGGCGCACCCCAGGTCACGACAGACCCATCGTGGAGTACCGCAGCAAAGGCACGTCCCGACGTCTCGATGTGGCGCACGTTCAGCAGCTGCTGGGCATGAGCGCTTCCGGGCATTGGAGCGCCCCACAGGACAACGGCACCATCACCCAGGATTGCAGCAAAAGCATTTCCGCACTTCTTAGAGGCACATACTTGCACATCCCTCCTGTGCAGCACCAAGACGTCTCCAGCGTGCAAGCCTGCTTCTTGGACTGTAGTCGCACCACGCAGTTGTTGGCCCGTGGGGCGCATCAGCATGCTGCGCCCCAAGCACAACGCCACCTGCGCCTGATGCTGAAGCGAATCAAGGGATGTCGCAGGGTCGACCTCAATAGAAACACTTCTTCCGCTGAGGAGTGAGACTTCAAAGCGTAACGACATGCCGCCGGGCAAGAGAATCCTGAACCCCAACCCCTAAACCCTAAAGTACACTTGGCTTCTTGTCTCCATTTGCCAGTCGAAGCCCTTCGAAGCCCAAAGACGGCGACAAGCCGAGGCCCCCACACACCACAGCGAAAGCCCCCCTTGACCCACCCGAAACCCTAAACCCTGGACCCTACACCCTGAACCCCGAAACACTGCACCAAAAACCCTCAGCCAAGGAACGACCCAGTCCGGAGCTGCTCCCCCCCCCCTCAACAAAAAAAGCCCTAAACCCTAAACCCTAAAATTCCTAAACCCGCAAATTAAACCCCTAAACCCTAAACCCTGAACCCCTAAACTTCCTAAACCCCTCTCCAGCCTCTGCACTGGGAGAGCCCAGCATCTCCCGAGCCTGCTCCGCCAGCTTCTCGCTTTTAGAGGGTTTAGGATTTAGGGTTTGGGGTTTGGGGTTTAGGGTTTAGGGTATTTGGGGTTTAGGGTTGAGGGATGCAGGCTTTGAGGTTGCCTTCGGGTCAAAGGTTTAGGCAACAGGAACCAAGGCGGACCCTGCTGAAGCCGACAACTAGTCAATCCTGTCTGGAAGCACCTTGGCAGTTCCCCCCAAGCACCCTTGACGCAAGCCCTGAACGTTGTAGGATCCCAAGAACAGTGCTGCGCACCCTCAGCACCCCAAACCCCAAACCTGAACAAACCACCCCTGTCCCCCCGGCCGCATGGGGAAGGCAACACCCCAACAAAGCGCTGGAGAGAAGCCTCAGGTCAATTTCTGAGGCTTGAGCTTACCTTGAGCTGACAGTTTCCAGCGGCTTTACTTTGTCTTCTTCAAGTTTAAGGGTGGGTTGAAGGCTTCTCTGCTCAAAGCCGAAGCCTAAGCCCTCAGCTAATATTGGGCGAGCTTGTGCCTAAGCTGCCGGCGCGTTGACGAAGAATGCGTCTTCATTCGCCCTCGCAGGAAGTGAAGCTTGGGTCGCGGGATCAGATTCAGGGTTTTGGGCTTAGGGAGCAAAAATATTGCTAGCCGTCATGGTCCCCAGGCCCTAACACCCTAAACCCTGATAATAAACCCTAGGCCATGTCTATCACATTGAGCGCCTTCCTGCTTTTGAGGGCTGCGCGAAACAACAAAAACCCTACTGCTTGTGAGAGAGCTAGACCTTAAACACAACCGGATGGCCTCTGTAGACGCTGCCGAAGCTGTGCAACGGCCAAGAGCCCACCTGCGTCAGTCGAGGCGATGGTTCTAGAGCTTGGGGGTGTAGGGGTCCCCTAAACCCCTGCAGTTCACCCACAAAGAATCTAAGCCGTCTGTGGAGCTCAGTGAGCGTTTAGGGCCCGGGTCAGGAGAGGCTTCCAAGGGCTTAGGGAGCGAAACCTCTCACCTCAACTGCTAACCAGACGCACGCTCGGAGTGGCAACATGTCGCCTCAACAACTTCGTGGTACTGCTGGAGACGGCCCCTTCCACACATTAGTGGGATAACCATCTTGGCAACTTCGAACCGCTTCTACGGCACTTGAGGCCTCTAGCTTCAAAAACGGGCTTGGAGTCTGAGAGCCTCCCGAATAACCCTCTGAGAATGTTGCACTTCGGCGCTTTTGGGTCGAAAGCTTCGGGCTTTATTATAGGGTCAATATAGGGGTGGGGCCCGGCCGCTCAAGGTGCAGGACAGCCAGAACAGCGAGGAGCCCACCGCCGCCTCTCGGAAGAGCGGTCAGGGGTCTGGGGGGCTTTAGAGGCTTCGATTGGGATGCTCCCCCCCTTGTTCCTAACAGTCCTTGATAGTTGGGTTCTAGGAGGGGGGTACTAGAATCCCTATTCAGGACTGCTAGTACAAGGGTGGGAACATCCCAAGGTTTGGAGGTGGAGGGTAGGGCCTAGCAAGGACCTTCTCCTTCAGTGCCGGAACCTTTAAAACCCTAAAGAACAAGGAGTTTGCCAGGATGGAAGCAGAGACCTCCCAAAAAGGTTTAAGGTTTAGGGTTTAGGGTTTAGGGTTTAGGGTTTAGGGTTTAGGGTTTAGGGTTTAGGGTTTAGGGTTTGAGCCCTGATGCCCCGAAGCCTATGGAGGCCAAGAGCACCAAGGAGGTGATGGTTGGTGAGAGCATGGAAGCTCGTGGCTTTGCGTTCAGGGTTGAGGGTTGAGGGTTGAGGGTTGAGGGTTTAGGGTCCAGGGTTTAGGGTTCAGGGATAAATGGTTTAGGGTTCAGGGTTTAGGGGTTCGGATTTAGGCTTTTAGCGGTCAGGTAGCCAAAGGCGAAGCGGTTAGACGAGGCTGGAGCGAGCCCCGGAGACATAAAAAGAGAAGAAATCCAGCCCCTTCAATTTCTGCGATTTAGGAAGCCCAGCCCCTTTAGTAGGGGGGGGGGGGGAGAGCCCAAATTATGACATTGAGGGGCTGGATTTCTTATCTGATGGGGAGAGGAAACCCCACATCAAGAAATTAAGGGAATTGGTACTTGAGGGGAGCGCAGCCCCAAACCAACAAAAAAAAACGAGGGGCTGGGTTGCGTAAAGAGGGGCTGGATTTCTTGAACTTAAGACATTGAGCCGGAGTTCTTATTTTAGAGGAGAAATTCACAGAATGGATGGAGAAACCGAGGGTGCTCTCGAGTACTTGAAAGGACCCTCATCAAGAACCAGAGGCTTCTGATCCCGCCTTTCTTTGCACATTAAAGACCAAAAGCAAAGCACGGACCCTAAACCCTAAACCCTAAACCGTGCAAATTTTTGGGGCTGACATCAGCCCAGGCTTGCAGCATGTGCCAAAGTTCATCCGCGACCCCTATAAAGCCTGCAAACCCTATAAACCCAGTAAACCCTATAACGACTATAAGCACCACAAACCCTATAAACCCCCATAAACCCTATAAACCCTATAACACCCTATAAGCAACAGAGCAAGGTCTCGGCCATCCAGCACGAGGCTCAGGCTCCGGAGCCCTAAACCCTAAACCCTAAACCCTAAACCCTAAACCCTATGGGCGCCAACCCCGAAAGCTTACGGTGCCCGGAAGTCCGAACCGTGAGCCCCGCAGCCCAAACCCTAAAAAGAACCCAAACCCGGAACCTTACACCCTAAACGCTCCACCCAACCCTAAACCGAAAGCCCTAAACCCCAAACCTTAAACCCTCAACTCTAAATTCTAAACCCTGAACCCTTCAACCTAAACCCCAAACCCTGAACCCTGAACCTGAACCTTGAACCCCCTCAAAAAAGGCTAGGGGTAGATAACCCTCAACCTTGCGCCGCGCCAGGCCTGCGCCCCTGACTTGAGGCTCGCCACGTGGGTCAGGGCGCTTCCAACAAGGAGGCCCGCCTTGGGTCTTGGGTTTACAGGGTTTACAGGGTTAGGGTTAGGGTTTCTGGGGTTTTATTGGGTCTTATAGGGTCTTATAGGGTTTTTATAGGGTGTTATAGGGTTTTATAGGGTGTTATAGGGTTTATAGGGTTTATAGGGTTTATAGGGTTTGTGGGGCTTATAGTCGCTATAGGGTTTACAGGGTTTATAGGGTTTACAGGCTTTACAGGGCTTGCAGGGTTTATAGGGTTTACAGGGTTTGTCGGGTTTATAGGGTTTCGGCTTGGGTTTTGGGTTTTGGGTTCAGGGTTTCGGATTTGGGTTTTAGGGAGACTAGTCCCTCTAGACTTTTAACTTGCAGGCCTGCAAACCCTACGAATCCTGAAGCCACACACCAAACATCAGGAGACACAAAGAACCCCTAAAGCATAGCAGGTCAAGTACCCAACCCCGAAATTTGGCCTAAATCCCCCCTTCCCAAGAAAACCGGTTTCTTTCAAAAGCCACGTACTGAACCCCTACACCCTGCACATCGCTGCACTCTACACCCCAAGACCCACGAACTCTCAAGAACTCTCCATCCAGGCACCTCGGATGTAGGGAGCCCACGGTTTGCTGAGGGCTTGTAGGCTTAAAGGGGTAAACGAGTTTGGGGTCAGGTCTTGGGTTTTTGGGTTTACCCACCCTGAGCCTTAAGCCCAAAACCCCTTGCCCTGTAGCCAGCATTCGGCCTGAGCCCGAAAAACCCTAAACCCTGAACCCTAAACCCTCAACCCTAAACCCTAAACCTAAACCCCCTAAACCCTGAACCCGAAACCCCATCCCTCCAAGGCAGCCACCAAGCACAGGGGCAGCGTGAGCATGTTGCCTGTGCTTCTGAGCTTCGGCCGGCTTTCGGAGTTTGGAGCGCTTGCGGGCGAAGCTGAAGGCGCTTGGGGCTTGGCATGTAGGGTTTTTGGCTTAGGGTTTAGGGCTTAGGGTTTAGGGTTTAGGGTTTAGGATTCAGGGTTTAGGGTGGTTTGGGGTAGCTACGTTGTCCCTTACTATGGGCCCTTAGGCTTTGCCATGTCCGGAATCGGTTGAATCTCCGAAGCACTCCAACCCTCATGCCCCAGAGCCGTCGAGGAGTGGGGTCTAAGGTTTTAGGGTTTAGGGTTTAGGGGTTTAAAGGTTAAGCTCAAGGTTTCAGGGTTTAGGGCTTAGGGTTTCGGATGGGCTTCGGGAGGCCCTGCCTCTGTTGAAGACGTCATGCCACGTGCGCCAACCTTGCAGCCAGCCAATCAAGCCCCTCACCTTCTCAAGAAGCAATCCTAAACCTTCAAGTGCTGGTAGTAAAGAGGGCAGATTCACAAGGGCCTTGCAGGCCCCAGGGCTAAGTTAAGAGGGATTACAGTAGGGAGAACGGAAATCCCAATTAAGGACTGTTAGTATAAGGGGAAACATCCCAAGGTTTAGGGCTTCAAGCTGCGAATTTATTATTCAAGGGACTTGGGTTTTGGGCTTAAGATTTCGGATTCAGGGTTCAGAGTTTATGGTCTAGGGTTTAGGGTTTAGGGTTTAGGGTTTAGGGTTTAGGGTTTAGGGTTTAGGGTTTAGGGTTTAGGGTTTAGGGTTTAGGGTTTAGGGTTCGCAGGGGCGTGGCGGCTCCAAGCCATGGGCTGTTTGCGAGCTCGATGCCGAAGGCCAAAGACTGGACCAACCTCGCACCCAGCTTAGGAAATGAATGCTTACATTTTAATTAGGGTTTAAGGTTTAAGGGGTTTAGGGTTTAGGGTTTAGGGTTTAGGGTTTAGGGTTTAGGGTTGAGGGTTGGGGGTTGAGGTGAGGGTTGAGGGTTGAGGGTTTAGGGTTTAGGGTTTAGGGTTTAGCGTTCAGCGTTCAGCGTTTAAGGTTTAAGGTTTAAGGTTGAGGCTTCAGAGTTTATGGGATTTCAGGTTTAGAGTCTAGGGTGGAGGGACCACTCTTCCGCGCCTCCTGTTTTAACCAGGGGCCCCACGGTCCTGAACACCCATGTGTATACAGACCCCAATAAGGTTGAGGATCTTAGTGCTTAGGGAGGTTTACGGTTTGATCTTTAGGTTTTAGGGTTTTGTGGTTTTGGTTGGGGTTATAAACTAAGCCACCGAACGCTTCCTACTGCCCAAGACCGAAGCTGCTCCCCGCATCAGCTCTTGCACACTCTCGGTGGCTGGTATAAGGTTGAGAGCTTAGTGTTTAAGGAGCTAAAGGTTTTGATCTTGGGTTTCGGCCCTCAAGCCGAAAGAAAGCATGGTTCAGCCATGAAGCTGGAGCATCCAGGGATCGGCAATTCAGAGCTTTAGGGTTTCAACCTAAACCCCAAAACCCCTGAACCCCCCAAACCCCCAAAGCCCAAAACCTCTCAACCCCTCAATCCTGCGGTTTCAGGGTTCCAGGCCTCAGCGGACCTGCGGGAGGCGGCGCATGAGCCATCGGGGCAATCGTGCCCAAGGAATTCAGGGGCTCACACTTCCAAGAGAGCTGGGAGTCGGTGTGAGATTCTTCCACCTTCCTTTTTGTGTATGATGTTGCCGTAGTACTCTGACATATTGCTGTGTTTGATGAACTTGTTCTGTTAGTCTTTTATGGTGTTATGTTGCCCTGGTCCGGATGCCGAGGTATGTTTGCTCAGTTGCTTCGCACAGTTGGAAATAGAGCCCGCTAACGTGCACCGAAGGGGCTGACAAATCATGTCGCTGCTTTCAGTCTTGGGACCACGTAGACCCGAAACCATGAACCCGGAGCAAATAGCTGAGACGTCTCAACTATTTCTGGCCATGCGTGCCCACTCTTCCTTGAGTCCATAGGCCCCAACAAGGCGATGGGCAAGCATGACAATGTGAAGATCCGAGATCTTCAATCTGATGTCCTCGACATTCTGTGGTATCGTTGGATGCCACTTCCGCAACACTCCTCTCTCTGATCCTTGTTGCAGACACGGGGAAACGTGCACATTGAACCCTTACTCGTGTGACTATTTTTTAAAAGCCCTGCACCGTACTCCTCCGAGCAGCGCGTCCATGCACTACCCTTTAGCTCACAGCTGAGATCGCCTTTACACATTCAGTTTGAGGGGAGGCCCAAACCTGAAGTTTGACAAGAGGAGAATCTTCAGGACCCAAGCACGATGAGTGAGCACATTTAGAGTCACACATCGGTCTTGTAGCAGGCAATCTTTTTCCTACTATTTGGTTATAATAAGGGAACCCTACTATTTGGTTCTGATAAGGGAACCGTACCATTTGGTTATAACAAGGGAACCCTACTATTTGGTTAGAATAGGGGAGCCCTACTACTTGGTGAAGATAAGGGAACCCTACTATTCGATTATATAAAATAATAGGGGAACCCCACTATTTGGTTCATAAGGGAACCCGACTATTTGGTTGTGATACGGGAACCCCATTTGGATATGATAAGGGAACTTAGAAAGAAAAAGACTAAACCCCTAAACCCTAAACCCTAAAGTCCTACCGGCAGCCAGAGGTGGACCTGGAACCAGCTCGAGGCCCTAGGCCCGACGGGTTTACAAGGGTTTATAAGGGTTTAGGGCTTTTAGGGTTTAGGGTTCAGGGGTTTAGGATTTTTAAGGGCTTAGGCTTTAGGAACGTATAGGGCTTTTGGGGCTTGTAGCGCGCACACATGCAACTCTGAAGACGAAGCTACATTCCCAAACTGAAACTTCAGAAACGCCTAAACCCCAGTGGCTAAGGCCCTTGCTCTCACTTTGTTCTGGCAATGGTATCCTGAAGGCTGCGTCACAAAGGTCCAGCGCTGCTGCCCCCATGCCTGCCGGATCACCAACTATGGCTGCAGTGATTTCAATTCCAGTGTTTGGGGTATGATACCGTGTTAGGGGTTCTAGTTAAAGGCATAGACCTGACCCGAAACCTTGAATCCTAATCCCAAAGTGTCCTGTGAGCTATAGGTATAAGGTTTCTTCCTCGTGGGGCTTGGAGAGTCAATCCTGCCGAGGTGCTGTTAGGTATGAAGGGTGCTATTTGCGCTTGAGCTTTAGGGGTTTAAGGGTTAAGGTCTTGGGTGTTGTAAAGTCATTTGCAGTGCCTACTGTTTGGCTTGTACTATAAATTCTATAAAGATACGAGATCTAAGGTGCAGTTTTCCGACAGATGAGGCGCATGCTGTTGACGGAGTTCCTTGCATGAAAACCGATCATCGAGATGGAAAGGGCCTCATTCATGTTGTCTGAGCCCTAAACCCTAAACCCTGCTGTGCGCAAGCGAAACTCCGCAAAAAGGACGAAGAAACAGACCTGAAGTCAGGGTGGAGCAACCATCGTTGAATCAAGCTCGTACTATACACATGACGTTCGCCCACACTTCGTGGGCTTTTGCTTTGGCAGCAGTGTAATTAACCGATACAGCTTGGGCGCATCCGCCGTTACTGCTTTAAGCATGAAAAGTTGACTCTTCTGACTCTTCTTCATCTCCATCTCTCAGTCCATCGTTCCTCAGTTGTCGAGTTCAGAAGCGCCCAAAAGTTCTCTAACTTTCAGATATTCCTGTAGTCTCCATTGTAGTTCCTTTTTGGGCCCCAAAAAGGAACCCCAAAATATGGGGTTACAATTTTGGAACCTAATTAAAGTATATATTTGGTTAAACCAAAAAAAGGAACTACAATGGAGACTCTAGGTATTATATGGGGATCATGTTATCCAAAACGTGCAAAGTTTTCTAACTCAGCCACCCAGGTTCGGAACTCCGGGTTCTGAAGGCTGCAGGCGTTCCTTCCGACTTGCCGCCGACTCTCTGGAAGTTTCCTTAGCCCCTCTCATGCAAGACAGAAAGAGTTAGGGTTTTGGGTTTAGGGTTAGACACACTAAGAGTAGCAAAAAAACGGATCCCTAGGATTCACCAAGTTTCTCCATCTCAAATGCAGCCAGTACGAAAAAGTATCGCTGTTGTTGCCAAAAGCAAGAGAAAGGGCACGATAGGGATCCAACTGCTTGCTTCAACATGATTTGAGGAGATGAAAAAGAGCGCCCAGAAAGTAGCAATAATTATGACTCCAAGCTGTGACAGCAGAACTGCCAGACAGAATCTCGATCGACAGGCGGAATGGTGTGCCATCCGGAACCCATGCCAGCAAAAGCACAGATTCAATCTAGTGGCCAGGATTGCGAGTACAGGGACGTACGCAAAACTTATGAAAGTACGTGTGCCCCAAATAACAGTCCCACCACTGGACAAGTTGGCGGGTGGCCCCTTGGCCAACAGAGAGATGCAGTCTGACAAAAAAGGCGTGCTGCCGCTGACCGCCATGTACAGAGTGTACCAGACCTTGGTCAGTCTTAGGTAGGGACAACGCCGTTTCAACAAAATTCGAAGCTCAGAGAACCAAGAAACCTGCAGTTTATGGACTCCCTGTTTGGGAGTACTGAGAAAAAAGGCCAAACAGACAAAAGCAGACAGGGTCCCGATGACTGACCAAGAGACAGGAAGGTGGTCCCGGCCAACCTGAGATTTCTCTCGGTATCTCCCCTGCGTGCTACTACTACTACTACTACTACTACTACTACTACTACTACTACTACTACTACTACTACTACTACTACTACTACTACTACTACTACTACTACTACTACTACTACTACTACTACTACTACTAAATTCTAAGCCCAACAGGCACCTGGAACCCTTCCGCTCAACTCTATACCCAAGACCCTACACTCTATATACCCTGTTCGCATGCAGGGCTGTTTGGAGCCACAGGGACAGACTTTAGCACTGACGGGGCCAGCTCCTTCCGCACGAGGAGGTTGAAGTCCACCAAATACTTGCCTGGGTTGTAGGATTTAGAGTTGTGGGGTTTAGGGTTTATGGGGTTTAGGGTTTGGGGCTTTCGGGGTGTAGGTTAGTTTCGGTGGCCCTTAAGAGTTTTTCTGAACCTTTTTTGTATGCATGAAAAAAATAATTTCGAAAAGCTTCCCAAAGTGCCACCTAGTTGCCGGGCGCATCGCCTGGCCGGCCAAACCACTGCTGCAGAGTTGCAAACCTCGAATAGCGTCTCGGGTTGTAGTCAGGGTGTAGGATGCCGTTTAGGGTTTAGGCTAATAGGGTTTAGGGTTAGGGCTTTCTAGGGTTTAAGGTTCGATTTAGGGTTCGGGGTTTAGGATGCCGGAATGACAGAAAACTCCCTGAAAAAGGCTTGTAGAACGAAGTCTTGGGATCAACTTTGAACTTAAACTACACCTCAACTCGAATCTCGGAAACAAGCTCACACGTCCTGCGGACCTTTACCGAGCAGATTCCAAACGCGGATGGGGTCGGGTGGGAGGCATGATTTGTCCTCGCTTTAATTGGCGACTCAAGAAACAGCAGCGACAGCCAGTGCTGTACTGACAATAATTAACACCAGCTGAATCCCAGTAGCTAGTTATTGCCACCAGCTTACGCTAGGAAAATGATGACTCAGCGAGTGGACCGACTTCGGATTCAGCACCCCTTAGCAAGGCGAGTCTTTCATATAGGGGGCCTCAAGCATCAACATAGGGTTGCAAGGCAGATTCTCGTATACTTGTATGGGGGCCATAGGGGGGGATGGTGGATACTATAAAACGACTATTCCGACCTTCATGTGAGCAAAGCCAAGCTCAACCATGGGGACAACTTACGTGAAGGCCAGACTGCACCTCAGAGATTTCGGAGGGTCTCGGAGAACGGAAGCACAGGGTGCAGAAACGATATCTACATCCAGTAGATTTCACCAGCCCGACTCGTGAAGCATCACAGACCAATACCTCTGCCGAAGCCCAGCAAGTTGTTTGGCTCATAGATTGCATGCTTGGGTTTTGTGCTGCAGGGTGTTTCAGGTTTCAAGAAGCCCTATAGCCAAGCCCTAACCCCAAACCAACACCGGATAAGAGTTCTTGGCTCCGGCGCAAAGCCCCGTTCGAATTGAAGTTGTTGCAGGGAACTTCCCTGAACCCTAAACCTTAAGCCCAGTGCTTCGGCAGAGGTATTGTCGTGGACTGAAATTAGTCATTTTCTGACTGTTGTTATTATGCCATTATGGTTAGCGGTATTGCCAACGGTTTTCTCAATATCTATTGAGAATTGGTAACACCTAAACTCCAAACCCGTAACCCTAAAGCCTAAACCTCAAACCCTAAACCCCAAACCCCAAACCCCAAACCCCAAACCCTGAAGCCGGGCAGCACCAATTCCCGATCACAGGGGACAACCTGCTGGGTCTCTGGATGGATATGCCGTCGAGAGCAGCACGTGCTTTCCGCATCCTCGCGGCTTACAAAAGTCGCTTGCAGTTCGGGTTTTTGGTTAGTAAGGGATGGTAAGGGTCAAGGGTTTGAAGGTTAAGATGGGTTGAGGCACCTGTCTGGTTGTCTTCGGTTCTTGCTGTTGTCACTGCCATCCTTGTCTTGTCTCAGCCTTCTAACTCTTCGATTCGATGCTGATGCGCACGCTGTGGCACCATGACACTGATGATGCTGATGCTGCTGATGATGATAACGATGAAAATGAGGATGAGTATGACGATGCTGCTGAAATTGCTGAAATTGCTGGTATTGTCGCTGTTGCTCTTGGTGCTGTCCATGCAACTATTGTGGTTGCAGCCGTCGGCGGCATTCTTGCTGCTGCTGGCTGTCGCCGTCAATAGTTGAGTCGTGCTGGCTGTTGTTAGTCGCTGCTGTTGCTTTTGTCTCTTCTGTCAGGTTGCTATGTTGATGCTGCCATTGCTTGTGCTGTTAGTGGTGCTGTTGTTGTTGTTGTTGCTAATGTTGTTGCTGTTGTTGTTGACGTTGTTGTGGTTGTTGTTACGGTTATGGATCTGGCTACGGTTGCGGTTGTGGTTGTGGTCGTGTTTGTGGTTGTGTTTGTGGTTGTGGTATTGGCTTGGTTGTGGTATTGGCTTGGTTGTGGTTGTTGTGGTTGTTGTGGCTGTTGTGGTTGTTGTGGTTGTGGTGGTTGTGGTGGTTGTGGTGGTTGTGGTGGTTGTGGTGGTTGTGGTGGTTGTGGTGGTTGTGGTGGTTGTGGTGGTTGTGGTGGTTGTGGTGGCTGTTGCAGTGGCTGTTGCTGTTGCTATTGCTACTGCCAGTGCCACTGCTAGTGCTACTGCTAATGCTGTTGCCGCTGTTGTTTTTGCTGTTGCTGTTGATGATGTCGGTGTTTCTGATGATGCTGTTGTTGTTGCTGTTGTTGTTTCGCTTGTTGTTGTATGCCGACATGAGTTGTTTGTGGAGTTGTCAATGCTGGCGTTGCAACTGCAGCTGCCACCGAAGCCGAAGCAATGATACTATCAGCAGTAGTGGTAGTGGTAGCAGTCGTGGTCGTGGCCGTGGTAGACGTAGCGGCAGTGGTAATGACAGCAGCTGTGGTGGCCGTCACGCGAGTGGCGGTGGTAGTAGTCAAAGTCAAAGTAGCAGCAGTGGCAGCTGCTGTAGCAGTCGCAGTCGCAGTATCAGGACCAGCAGCAGTACCAGTAGCAGCAGGAGTAGTAGTAGTAGTAGTAGTAGTAGTAGTAGTAGTAGTAGTAGTAGTAGTAGTAGTAGTAGTAGTAGTAGTAGTTGTAGTAGTTGTTGTTGTTGTTGTAGTGCTAGTCGTAGTGCCAGTGGCAGCACCGGCAGCAGCAGTAGCTCGGTAGCGGTAGCAGTAGCAGTAGCAGTAGCAGTAGTAATAGTAGTAGTAGTTGTAGTAGTAGTAGTAGTAGTAGTAGCAGTAGTAATAGTAGTAGTAATAGTAGTAGTAGGAGCAGCAGCAGCAGCAGGAGCAGTAGTAGCAGTAGTAGTAGTAGTAGTAGTAGTAGTAGTAGTAGTAGTAGTAGTAGTAGTAGTAGTAGTAGTAGTAGTAGTAGTAGTAGTAGTCGTAGTAGTAGTAGTAGTAGAAGTAGTAGTAGTAGTAGTAGTAGTAGTAGTAGTAATAATAGTAGCACGCGCCAGTGTCATATTTGACGCCACGTTTTTGTGGCTGTTAGGACGAGTTTTCATCAGTATGTACAGTTTTTTCGCAAGACAAGAGCAGGAGTCTCGAGGGTCGGATTAAGGGGTTTTGTCCGAGGTTACATAGTACGGAGATAGGTTGATTGACCGATCGAGATATAAATAGAGAGCGTTTTATGCCCCAAAACACTGGTATTTACAGCGGTTTCGGCTCTCAGTACAACATACTAAGCAACGATGTACCAAGCCCGACATGTTTTTGCTAACACCGTAGCCCCTGCCAAGAACGTTACCAAAACGGCAAAACACCCGAGGACCAAAAGGCATGGACGCTTGTGACAGATTTTCTTGTTCCACATCCTTGTGCAGTATGTTGTACAAGAAGGCGAAAACGCTGTAAATACCAGTGTTTTGGGCATGGACGAAATATGAATGACGTTCTTATCCCCCCCAAACAAAACCAAAGCAGCCACATGTAGAGTCTTTGGCAGAAAAAGAACGAATTCTACCCTCCACTCTTTCTTCGATTTCGTGCTGAAACCACACGTTTGAGGCCCTCAAGTGAGGAAAAGCATGGCGTCAATTATGGCACTGTCACCGATTAGTAGTAGAAGTAGTGGTAGAAGTAGTAGTAGTAGTAGTAGTAGTAGTAGTAGTAGTAGTAGTAGTAGTAGTAGTAGTAGTAGTAGTAGTAGTAGTAGTAGTAGTAGTAGTAGTAGTACGCCCCAACCGGGTGGTTTGCCCACACACAGGCTGGTCACGGACAGGCTTTAGGGTTTAGGGTTTCGGGTTTAGAGTTTTGCTGCTTTCCCGCCGACACCCAACAGCCCAAAGCCGAAATCTTAAACTCCAGAAGTTCTTGGTCCTATTTAATAATGAAGCCTCCGAAGCAGGTGGCCAGCGTCTGCGCCCCGCTTGCCGTATGCCAGGGCCATGTCCGCCTGTGCAGACCGCGGACCTGTGGCCGCGCTGCGCAACCAGCACGGGACTGCGTCAGTAGTGTAGTGGCCACAAGACGAGTCGCCTGCGACATCCTGAGCTATTATTAAATAGGACCAAGAAGTTCTGCCTGCACTCCTGAAGCCGCGCCCGAAAGCAGCACTATTCTCTAAGCAGTCTCGTGTCCTTTCACAACCACAAGCAGAAGACGAAGGCAAACCGAGCAGTGTCTTACGCCTCAACCCTGAACCCACGCCCGAAAGCAGTGTTATTTCCTTGAAGCCCAGGACGACAAAACACCGAAGCCCTCGTGCTGGACTCGTGCCTGAAACACTCCAAAGCCCAAACAGTAAGACGCGCGCGCGGGCAAACCATAGGGTTCTGCGACGTCCGGAACGCAGGGAAACCCGCAGAGGGTCGTCGTTTATGAAGAAAGAAACGAAAAAAAGAACAATGTTGAAAGGCCGGCAAAGGCCAGAAACGCCGCGCCTGCGCATGTTTTCTGTACCTTCCAAAAACAAGCGCGGGCAAACCATAGGGTTGCACCGTAGTAGTAGTAGTAGTAGTAGTAGTAGTAGTAGTAGTAGTAGTAGTAGTAGTAGTAGTAGTAGTAGTAGTAGTAGTAGTAGTAGTAGTAGTAGTAGCAGCAGCAGCCATGCACTCCCTGTGGCGCCCGGTACTTTCTTACCTTCGCATGTCGAAAACATCGGTATTTACGACACTTCCTGGCTTCGTTGCGCGCGAATGGACACAGCAAATCACGTGCGTTGGAAATTCGCAGCATGCGTGCACATCAAACGCCAAAACCTCGGTTTTTCCGACGCTTCCTGGCTTCCTGGCATGCGAATGGCAAAGCATCCATGTCCGCACGATGACAACGTCCGTGTTACCAGCGCATCCATGCCTGCACGATACAGAGCATCCATGTCCGCACGATGATAACGTCCGTGTTACCAGAGCATCCATCTCCGTTTTTCTTCAACAGGGGATAGCCCCCAGAGTCTGCTCAATGGAGTGCTCAAGGTGCAGACTGCATGAAGAAATCCATGTTTCTTGCCTTCAGCTTCAACTTGCATGTTCAGGGTCTAGGCTTTAGGCATTAGGCTGTATAGGGTTTAGGGGCACTTCGCTGCCACGGCCATGAGAAGCAAGCAAAGCATATCCCCAAAACCCTAAACTTCGCTGCCAGCGCCATGTGAGAAGCAAGCAAAGCATAGCCCCTTAACCCTAAACTTCACTGCCAGGGCCACGAAAGAAACAAGCAACGCATGTCCCCTTAACCCTAAACTTCACTGCCAGGGCCACGAAAGAAACAAGCAACGCATGTCCCCTTAACCCTAAACTTCACTGCCAGGGCCACGAAAGAAACAAGCAACGCATGTCCCCTTAACCCTGAACTTCACTGCCAGGGCCACGAAAGAAACAAGCAACGCATGTCCCCTTAACCCTAAACTTCACTGCCAGGGCCACGAAAGAAACAAACAACGCATGTCCCCTTAACCCTAAACTTCACTGCCAGGGCCACGAAAGAAACAAGCAACGCATGTCCCCTTAACCCTAAACTTCACTGCCAGGGCCACGAAAGAAACAAGCAACGCATGTCCCCTTAACCCTAAACTTCACTGCCAGGGCCACGAAAGAAACAAGCAACGCATGTCCCCTTAACCCTAAACTTCACTGCCAGGGCCACGAAAGAAACAAGCAACGCATGTCCCCTTAACCCTAAACTTCACTGCCAGGGCCACGAAAGAAACAAGCAACGCATGTCCCCTTAACCCTAAACTTCACTGCCAGGGCCACGAAAGAAACAAGCAACGCATGTCCCCTTAACCCTAAACTTCACTGCCAGGGCCACCTTACGCATGTCCCCTTAACCCTAAACTTCACTGCCAGGGCCACGAAAGAAACAAGCAACGCATGTCCCCTTAACCCTAAACTTCACTGCCAGGGCCACGAAAGAAACAAGCAACGCATGTCCCCTTAACCCTAAACTTCACTGCCAGGGCCACGAAAGAAACAAGCAACGCATGTCCCCTTAACCCTAAACTTCACTGCCAGGGCCACGAAAGAAACAAGCAACGCATGTCCCCTTAACCCTAAACTTCACTGCCAGGGCCACGAAAGAAACAAGCAACGCATGTCCCCTTAACCCTAAACTTCACTGCCAGGGCCACGAAAGAAACAAGCAACGCATGTCCCCTTAACCCTAAACTTCACTGCCAGGGCCACGAAAGAAACAAGCAACGCATGTCCCCTTAACCCTAAACTTCACTGCCAGGGCCACGAAAGAAACAAGCAACGCATGTCCCCTTAACCCTAAACTTCACTGCCAGGGCCACGAAAGAAACAAGCAACGCATGTCCCCTTAACCCTAAACTTCACTGCCAGGGCCACGAAAGAAACAAGCAACGCATGTCCCCTTAACCCTAAACTTCACTGCCAGGGCCACGAAAGAAACAAGCAACATGTCCCCTTAACCCTAAACTTCATTGCCAGGGCCATGAGAGAAGCAAGCAAAGCATGTCCCTTTACCCCTAAACTTCACTGGCGGGGCCATGAGACAAGCAAGCAAAGCATGTCCCCTGAACCCTAAACTTCACTGCCAGGGCCATGAGAGAAGCCAAGCATACCAAATCCGACCTCACTTCCGCGGAATAGTTGTCCGAAAACTGGCCTTTTCGGCTTTCTGACACGAAACCAACAATCCATTGTAAATAGCATGCAATTCGGGTGTTGACACGTGCAGTCAGACCAGGCGCCTGGGGGAGCGATAGCCTAGTAGCACCAGCAGCAGGAGTAGTAGGAGTAGTAGGAGTAGGAGTAGGAGTAGGAGTAGGAGTAGGAGTAGGAGTAGGAGTAGGAGTAGGAGTAGGAGTAGGAGTAGGAGTAGGAGTAGGAGTAGGAGTAGGAGTAGGAGTAGGAGCAGTAGTAGTAGCAGCAGCAGCAGCAGCAGCAGCAGTAGTAGTAGTAGTAGTAGTAGTAGTAGTAGTAGTAGTAGTAGTAGTAGTAGTAGTAGTAGTAGTAGTAGTAGTAACAATAGAGTAGTTGTTGTTGTTGTTGTAGTAGCAGTAGCAGTAGCAGTAGCAGTAGCAGTAGCAGTACCAGTCGCAGTGGCAGTGGCAGTGGTCTCGTCGACGTCTCAGCAGCAGCTGCCGTTTTACGATCTGCTGTCATCTTTTGTCGCCTGTCAACGTCCAGGTACGTAGTAGCTTCCACTGGAAGGCGACAGGCTCTCGAGATTTAGCCCTCCAGACGGGAAAACCCCCTCCTGGATCCGGAAGTTGGAAAGCTGCTTGGGCAGCGTGGACAAGTCCTCCATCATGCCAATGCCGACCTGCAGTAATGGCTCGGCAAGTGGCCTTAGAAATAGCCCTTAGCCCATGGAACCCCTACCCACTTAGGAGCTGCTCGCTTAGCAAGTGCTGCACTGCTCAGTGCGACCCAAAGGCGTAGTAGGTCCACGGCAAGAAGACAGCCGCAAAGCACATGCATAGACTCCCCAAAAGAGTCCTTGTCCAGGTGACCTCTCGACTTGACTTGTTTGAGATCACGGAATAGCCTCCTGCCACCACGAACCAACTTAGGCTGTTCACACACAGCAGAAGTGCCAGCTTAACAGGCATGACTTTGACTTGCTTTCGCTTCTCCGGTCTGCGAAGAAAAGTGCTGATCTCATACACACACCAGAGCCGTTGCAACGTGCGAGGGGACCACAGCACGGTGAGCTCATCTGCAATGGCCAAGAAAGCGGCTAATCCCAGTATGCCCTGCTCCTTGAGAGCGACATCGTGTTGGGCTATGCAAAGCTTGTCCAAGAACACCGTACGGGGCCGGCAAAAAGATCGAAGCCTCTGCCAGCCGAAAAAAATGCAGACCCAGGTGGCGTGGCCAATCGCTACCGTCCAGGCCTCATCCGGGAGCACATGGGATGCTCGTAGGATTCCGACGCCCACGCTGACCAGCAGAGTTCCTACTGCTGCTGCCCTTGAGTTGAAGACAACCAGGAGAGCAGCCAACTTGAGCCAGCGAGATGTTTTCCAATCGTGGCTCAGGAAGTTGTCTATGCGCTGGGTTGGTCGGCTTAGACGAACGTCGGAAGCCCGTTCGACTGTGTCGCTTGAAGCCCAGTGCTTTCCCCATTGAGCGAGGCATTCATGCAAGTAGACGCCACGAAGGAGCTCGGGTGGCATCCTGGGTTCTTATTATAGAACCTATCTTAAGCATATAAAGGGAACCTTACTAAGGAGTGTTAAACAGGTAGGTTTATCGTAGAAGCCAGAAAGTTGGAACATCATTCTCCTCCTGTCCTGTCATTGAGGTGAGGTATAGGGGATCCCAGCCTTTTATCATCCTAAATCCATGCTCCAGCTCTATGGGGTTCACTATAAGGGGCTTTCATAACAAAATTACCATAATCAGGAAACCATCTTAATCACCATAGACCCGTTTTATGGCAATTTGAACCCCAATTGTAGCTGCGAGTTCCTTAACACGAGCCCAGCGACTCGACCTTCAGCGATCGCTCACTGAGAACAACGCTGGACTCGATGCTGGAGCCCTTCGAGGTCATGGAACCAACCCTGGACACGTCCTCCATGGCTGAGAGGGCTTTCAAAAGGGAAGGGATAATAATTATTCAACCTACGTCACGGCCTTGCGGCGGTGAGCCTCCGTCTGAGAGCCGCCGGCAGCACCAGTCAAGTCCAGTCGGCGTAGAGTTTGGGAAAATAGAGCTAGATTACGGCTCATTACGGCGTGGGGTCTAGTGGCGGTAGTGACCTCGGGCTCCGGGTTGTCAAGGTTGACACACGAGGCAGGGCAAGCACGAAAGTGCGTTTAGACGCTGCCCTTTGCCAAGGAACTAGATTCATAAGTACAAACACCCAAATCCCCGACCCGTAACAAACAGGGACAAACACTCTTGAAGAAGCACGGAAGCCCCTGGAAATGCCCCCCGAAAACCCCACAAACCCGTAAAACCTTGAAACTGGTTCAGGGTTTGGGGTTCAGGGGCACACCCTTCAACCTTATAGGACCCTAAAGCCTCAACTTCTTGAAACCCTTCACAAAACAAAAAAACCCAAAGCCCACCTGGGGGCCCTAAACCCTAACTAAAGCTCCACGCACCCCAAATCCTGAAGCCCTACTGCTTTGATCCCCCTAACCCCTAAACCCCAAAAGCCCCAACGCCCTGAACCCACGAACCCCCAGCCGCTGGGATCCGACACCCTAAAGCCCTAACAAACCTTAATCTCGAAAAAGCGTATAACCCTAAAGCCCAAGCACAAAAACCCTGAAGCCCCAACCCCAAAGGCCTGAAACCCTGAACCACCAAAGCCCGAATATAGGGGCCTTCATAATTAGAACAAAGTTTTGGGGTGTATTATACTACATATACATACTTACAATAAGGAGCCCAAAATAGTATGAGCAATTATGTACCCCTGTACTGTGCACCCTTGCAGTAACCTTGATAGTAACCCTTATAAACCCCTTTTGAAAGAAGCCACTTCCCTAAAGCCCTAAGCCCTTTTCAAAGGAACCCTAAACCCTAAACCCTTGTTAAACCCTTGTTAAAGGAACCCTAAACCTTAAACCCTAGCCCCTCTTTGAAAGGAACCCTAAACCCTAAACCCTAAACCCCATATTTTTGCTAAAGGAAACCCCCCCCCCACCAAAACTCTGAGAACCCCAGAGCCGAGCCAAGGCCGTGGGCTGATCAAACCTCCAGGACTCCAAAGGTAGCGGCTCTCGGCCTCACCAAACCAACAAGGGTCTAGGGTTTTGGGGGGGTTCGGGGTTTAGGGGTTTAGGGGTTTAGGGGTTTAGGGGTTTAGGGGTTTAGGGGTTTAGGGTTTGGGGGTTTTAGGGTTTTACAAGGGTTTAGGGCTATAAGTTCCTTAGGGTTCCATAGAGGTTCCCTCATGGTTTGACGGGTTCATCTAGGGTTCTGCAAAGGTTCCTTTAGGGTTCGCTTAGGGTTCTATACGGGTTATAGGGTTCCATACGGGTTCTATACGGGTGGTTCCAGAACTAAAGGGCCCTTTAACTGTTGGCTTGAATATGAGGGTTTCTATCAGGGATACTACAGGGTTTATGCAAGGAGTCTGTAAGAAGGGTGTCGGGTTTTGGGTTTAGGGGTTTAGGCCAGGGCTGAGGATTTATGATTCAGGGATACCAGGGCTTCAGAAGATCCCGAGCTTTCCTTTAAGACTAAACCCTAAGCCCTAAGCCGCTTAGCGTTAGGGTTTAGGGTTTAGCCGTACACTTCAAGGTTTAGAGGCTCGGGCTTCAAGCCATCTTAGGTCTTTTGGGTCGGGGCTTGACTAGTAGTAGCCAGTAATAACAGTAACAATCGGAACAGTAAAATATGAACAAGAATATATCTATACTAAGCGATACTATAATCGATACTAATCGACGAGGACAACATACTAAGCTTGGACGAATCTACACTATTCGATACTATACTCAATGTTAATCGACGAAGACCCCCACAGTAGAACCCGACGCCGACGCTTTCGGGAACAATAATGATAAGAGCAAAAATACTAGGATACAGGTTTTGCATGAATCGGTACAGGACTGTGGCTGCTACTGACGACAAAATGCTGATCTTCAGGCTGGTCTGGCTCTGGCGGTTTGAGGGTTTAGGGGTGTGGTAGGTTTTACATAGGGTTCCCTACATCCTTATAACTATACAGACTGGAAGTCTCAATCTGCAACCCCCATAGGGTTGAGGGTTTAGGGTTCCGGGTGTGGTAGGTTTTAGTAAGTTTACGGTTCCCTAAATCCTTAAAGGGCTTAGGGTTTGGGGATGTTTAGGGGTTTGGTAGGTTTTAGGGTTCCCTAAAGGGTTTTAGGCTTAGGGATGTTTAGGGTGTTGGTAGGCTTTAGGGTTCCCTAAAGGGTTTTAGGTGTAGGGCTGTTCAGGGGTTTGGTAGGTTTTTAGGGTTCCCTAAATCGTTATAAGGATCCTTGCTAACTATAAGGGCTAGGACTGTGCTGACCAGCACCTCTGTTTTGACGCGTCGGCAGTAGACCTTGTGTGAAGCTTTGCACACAAGCAGTGGCAATATTGGACGTCATGCTGAGGCTTGGCACTCATTGATGCCAAGCTGCAGCTCTTACCATGTCAATAAGATAACACCATTGTCACATACATACTGCTTTCTCAAGAACAGGCACGAACTTCAACACGCACTTTGGCCTCCAGCCCGTAGGCTCACGCACCTGCCAAGATGTTTGGATTTCATCTGGGGTGATGGCCAGGTCCTCGCAGAAGCCATAGCAGCTCTCGGAGTCGATTGCGTTCCCCACGCCCTTGCCAACGGCCCAGTACCCCTCCACCTCGAACAAGCTTGATAGAATGGCTGAGTCGGCAGCCGTTGTAAAGCTCTTGAAGCTTGGGCTGTCTCCATCGACAAAGGATCCGCCTTTGTTCATGAAGTAAAGATACTGCGCCTCGTCCTCCAGCTTGTACACCGGCCGTCCATATAGCAGCAGTGGAATGCGGAGCATGCGGCCTGTCCTGATGCTGCCAAGCTGCTCTGCGGATCCTTGCACCTGGAACCCACAAACACTCCTCGCTTCGATTTTGTCCACTGCAGGCACTGTACCCAACAGAGCCCTTGCGGCTGCCGCCAGAGAGAAGCCAGATTTCCTCACACGCTCCGCCGCCTGTGGTGAGAGAGGCAACCATCCAGAACAGGTGGAGCATGTGAGCAGCCTACGTGGTGATTAACGGTGCGTGTACATCGTGTACAACATGGCACCCACGCAGGCAGCTCAGTGTGCACCACCCTGCCTGCATCAGCAAAGGTCGAGCAGGATTATCCCCGTCTGCCAGCCCGTCTGCCTCAAGCAGGGATTTCTTGATGGATATGGCCCGCTCGACCTCTTATAGAGAACTCGTCATGGAACCTAATTATTGGGGAACTCTTCAAGGGACAACATGGGACAACCCTGTCTGCCTCATCCTCGCTGTCACTCGAATCCCGGTCACCGCCAACTCTTAAACCCTTCGAGGGCCCATGCCACACGTACCAGGGCCGCTCGATCTGCGACGGATGCCGGATGCCCTCCTCCCAAGGAATCTTCGGTTTGGAGTTAGTGGCGGTTACAGTTTTAGCTTTCGGATCTCGTAAAATCTCAAAGTCGTCTCCGAGTAGTAATCAGGAACGTGTCGGGATCTTGGGCTATCATGCAATCATGCAAGGCCACCATACTCTGCCCGATGGCCTCCTGTGCAAAGGCACAGCCGGGCGCCAAGCACACGCCTGCGAACGAGGGGCCAGCAGAAGCAGCACGCTCTAAACCCTGACCCCTAAACCCTTAAAGCCTGAACCCCTAAACTCCTCAACCCTAAACTCCTCAACCCCAAACCCCCAAACCCCTGCCCCCTTGCAAACCTCGGCCAGCCTTCCAAAGGTCGCTCTGCGATCGTCCAGATATTGGCCGCAGGATCCAGGTAAAGGTATCGTGAAACGGGGGTTGAATAGAAGCCAACTCCTGGGTTCTTGCTCAGGAGTTTTTTTTAAGTTGCCATCATAAAGAAGCCATGTTACTTACTATAGATCCCTATTATGGTAACTTAAACTAAATTCCTAAACAAGAACCCAGACTCTTTTGACCAGTCGGAAGACCTGCACGCCATAGGTGTGCTCCAGCTTGTGGTAGATGCCATTCATCACCTGGACAAGTTGATGAAGGGCCCACTTGCTTGGATTTGTCTGCCGTGCATGCTGTCACGCTTTCCCTTCCTCCCAACCAGCCTCGTTTTCTCCCGTGCCTCGGATCGAGCTTCGTGGAACTTGCAAGGCTGCTGTACGAACTCTACCATGTAGAAAACGTGAAGGCAAAGAAGCATGGAATTGTCAAGCCCAAGTGCCGCCTCTAACCAGCACGTCTTGATCCCATGCTTGATCACAGTCCCGCAAAATCGAGCATGGAATTTCCATGTCTGCGTCCTCAAAGCAGGGTGCATTGACTAGTCAGCGATATGGTTTGAATCATGTCGAATGTGCCCTGAATGAGCCACAAGCACCAGTCCTGCAGGGAGTTGCCAGCAGAAGACGCCTCCGACCCCGACGTTTGATGCCGGCCATTCACCCATTCGCCTTCGTAGCGCACATTGTCAACCGTCCTGGAGAATCGAAGTGCAGTTGGGGCATCAGTAGCTCTGCACAAACAAAGCGGGCTATACATCCGAAACGATAAATGACGTCCTGTACATGCCCTTCCCGTGATATTTGCCATGCTGCCACTCGCCCTCGTAGTAGCCGAGCTCGTTGCCCTTTTGTCCTCCGCAGAGATCGAAGACCCTGCCCCTGCTTCGCACTGACGCAAAACCGACAGTCCTGCCGCGGCATCGAAGAGTGTCATCTTTCCATGTCCATGGGGGAGGCCATGACTCATTTCTCCGTCGTACACGGTAAAGTCCAGGTACTGGGCCCGCCCTTGCCTCAGACATGGCAGTGCAAACTTTACCAGACTTATTCGAGTCGGGATTTTTCTGATCTTAGAGGGGCAACATTCCCTCGTGAGCCAAATCACTTCATGTGCAGTGCGTCTGCACCCTTCTTCTGGTAAAACACCATGGCCAGATCTGGCATGGGATCTCCTGCGGCTTGCACCCCGGCACCATCCGGCCCGAAGTAGCGCACGAACTTCTGATGCTGTTTTCGCATGTGAGCTTGGTTCACTTCGTCCAGCTTTAGATCACGTTGAGGTTCTTTACCTGCCTGCGCAGGATGAAGCTGTTGGTAGCTGAGATCGGAGTTGCGCGCCTCCGCATCAGCTTCCGCCCAATCCGAGCACCATTCGCCTTCGAAGCTCACGATTCGGTCAGGCTCGAGGTTGGGAAGGAGCACTTTGCCTGCATCAAGGCTCGCCTGTCGGAAGGTGCCAGGCAAGGCCGGACTCTCGGACTCCAAGCACATTCGGCCGTAGCCATGGAAGAGATCGTGCCGGAATTCGCCCTCGTAGACCTTGATGACGCCAGAACCAGCCCGAGCACCGAAGGAGAGGAGTGTCGAGCTTGAGATATGTTGCTCCCAGCGGAAAATGCCATATCCGTGGCGCTTGCCATCACGCCAACTGCCTACGTAGATCGCCCTGGAATCGGAATCCTCTCGCTGCTCGTCCGATGAGGTGGCATACAAGGCTCCCTCACCCCCATAGGTGTGGTTGTCCCATTCACCCCGATAGACCCTGCCGTCGGCCCATGTCTGCAAGCCATTCCCTTGCCTCATATAGACTCCATCTAGTTGTGGGTGGTCAATCACGTTACCCTTGTAGAAGCGAATCCACTCTTGCTTGGTGTCCATGCCACAATTCTTGATGCATTCCTGCCACATCTGCAAATGCTCAGGCTTCACAGTGACTAGCACCTGCTCGGACCCATGAAGGGGGTCCCAATCAGGCTGCAAAGCCCGTTTCAGGTGCATCCACTCTGCTGAATGCTCGAACTCCGGCAAAACACGGAAACCGACCACCGCGCTTGACGCATCACCAGATCCACTGACCGGCCCAACTGTAATGTGCTGCAGGAACTTCAGTGGAATTTTGAAATGTATGGTGGAGGAGACTGCATCCTCAAACCGTTCTCCGCTTTGAGGAATGAGCTCATGCAAGCCGATCCCACCGCTCATCTCAACGTCCAAGATGGAAAACAACTCCTCCGCCTTCCGCCACGAGTTCCGTTCCAGGGTCGAGTGCTGCGACTCCTGACGTCGCCCTTGATTCCGGAACAATCCCAACAACAAGTGTACGGCATCTGGGAACTCTCGCTTGCTGATCTCGTGCCCCTTTGAAATGTCTGCCCACAGACGGTTCGCGTCTCGGTACTTGGGATGAGCCCGAAGAAAGCCGACAAACTCCTTCACCTCGGATGGCATGTCTGGTGGCAGTTCACTGATCGTCTTTGCGGCATACTCTTCCATGCGGAGGACCTCTTGCGGGGGTATCAGGCCATCCTTGTCCACGTCCTCAATTCGCCAAGGGGCTGCTCCATTCTACCGTCTGGCCTCTATGACTTGCCGCTTATCTACCCTGTCACAATGAACCTGAAACTCCAAGGAAACTCCAAGGCTAGTAGCAAGGTAGTCCACGACCTGCACGGCCACACTCTCGAAGCCCTCCTCCTTCTGGGAGTGCCCTTTGAGGTACTCCAGCACTGCCGCTTCCTGTGCTGCTTCCTGTGCTGCTTCATCACGACTTGTATCCTGCGCTCTCAGTTTTAGCTGCTGCTGATGGTCATACTACATTTTGAACCCTGGAGGCCCTCAAAAGCTTAAGCGCATGTGTGCGACAAGCAACCACCATAGTATACCCCGGCAGCATCGGCATCGCAACCTTTCGGCTCTTGATTGTTTGGTCCTTCTTTCCCCAACCGAACATAGAGAACATCTTAGCCGTGGCCGTGGCGGTCTTGCCCTTGCATGCTGCTGGCTCGTCCTTGTTGTCCTTGGTGTAAGTAGCTTTCGTTTTGACGCTTTTTTCCATTTTGGCGACGGCAAACTTGCGCTTCTTCGCCTCCTTCTCCACTTTCCTGCGAACGGTTTGAGCTGCAAGCAGTTCCACGTGACAGCGATGCAGCATCCTGGCCAGGTTCTTGACACAGAGATCCTTGGAGACGAAGCTGTGGCGACAGATGTAGGCCCAAGCGTCGTCGTAGCTGCCGAAGGTGGAGAGGAGGAATTTCCGGAACGGTGCTAACTCTGTCTGAGACAAGTCCCTCCACGTGAACACGATGTTGGAGCCGTCAAAACTGAGGAGGCAATCCCTCGTTTCGGGCGACCTCGCAACACTCTTCGTGGGCGCCAGCATGTTCGAAAAGATGCGGCTCAGGAGCCCCTCACTGCTTGAGCCAGCAGCGCTCAGCTTGGCATTGTCGGCTCGGCTCTGAGGCTGACTCGCGTTTTGGCCATGAAACTTGCACAGGACCCTGGTGGAAGCGTCCTCTTGCCAAGTCTGGTCGCGACGATTCCAGACCTTGAAGGGCTTCTGAACCCTATCTGGTGTGACAGCATTGTCCTTGCAAAACATGAACACATGCATTGCACTGTCTGTGTCCAGGCCATACGGAACTGGCTTGCCACAGAAAGGGGAACAAACCCAGCGAGAGATGCCATCCCAATACAAGTACACCGGTTGGAATCGCATGCACTCCGCGTTCTCGATGGTCACCTCACTCCCTTGCTCAGGCCCCTTCCACATGGCGAGGTGATCTGGATCCATGAGCTCGAAATAGCGAGCGGCGTTGAGGCCAGTTGCCCTGAAGACCAGTCGTCCATGGCACGTGAGCGGCAGCCGGTTCGCGTCTACCTGCAGTTGAAAGCTCATGCGCGATCTGTCTGTGTAGAGGACGACGCGACGGATGTCTTGCGGAACGGACAGCAGGATGCCCGCCTCGTGTGCCGAGATGGCGTCGGGACGCCAGACCTTGTTGGGCTTCAGGTGATCGGCCAGCATGACATAGTGCAGGATGCCAAATGTGACGTGCGTTTCCTTTTCCTGAAACTCTCGTAGCTTCTCCAATAGCAGAGTCCCGTAGTCAACATGGGGCTCAGGTTGGATCACCGGTCCTCGCTTTCGCGCACGCACCGCATATGGAGGTCTGGAGCGGAGTTTGTCGTGTTGCTTTTTGCCACGATACCAGAATTCGATGCCTTCTTCAATACTGCGGATCGCCTTGTTCATCTCAACTTCCTTCCACAAGGAACGTCGAATGTCTAGTTCGAGGAGTTTTTGCTCTCGCGTCTCTTGCACAATGGATTGCATAGAAGCATCCACACTGCTTTCCATGTGCTCCTCTTTGAATTTGCAGAGCTTCTCGTAATGGATCTTCATGTCCTCAACACAGGACTGGTCCATCTCCAAGCCGAGAAACTTCGCGAGGATGGCTCTGCGATCCAGGTGGCGTCGAAGCTTGTTCAGATTAAGCTCGCTGTTCCCAGCGACCACGTCTTTCACCGCTGCCACCTCTGCAACGTCCAACTCCTGTTCCTCGTCGGTGGGGTGTCGCACATACATGTCGACGAAACCGGTGTGGTTCAGGACATCCTCTGAGGTCACTGGCGGGGCTCTCCAGTTTTGGCAACGCTGCAGCAAGGAGGCGCAGCATCCGCGTTCAGCTACATCGCCTTCGTCTTCTTGCACGCGTCTCAGCTCTTGGCCCGCTGTGACCCTCCAGCTGGTGTAGAAGGGGATTCTCTTGTGCCCGGCTGCGAATACGACTGCATCGGTACACTTCGCAAGCTCTTTGTCGGGCAGGGTGAAGGAAAAGGGGTCGCTGATGCCCAGGAGCTCTTCTGAAACCCGCCCGTCTGTATCCTCATCGTCATTCTGCAGCCAGAGCATAAGCTTGAACCTGGAGCCTGTGAGCGGCATCTCTACCTTGAACTCCCCGCCATGCCTGCAAAAAGTGTCGAAGCATTCCATCATCGGTGTGGCCGTGTGCCCATGAGAAGAATATTGACCCGCAGCGTTCATCTGGTCCTGGAACTTGCGCAGACAGCCTCCCTCCCCCATCATGTCCTCAATCTTCTCGCGAGATAGTGTCTCACTGCGTGCTATGCCGCTGGAGCGCTCGGTCGGCGTGTCTTTCATGAAGTCTTCATCTTCATAGAGCAGGGTCACATAGAGCTTCTTCTTGCTCGCATCTCTTTGGCTGTGCGATGTTTGCGCCGAAAACTTTGGCAGCATGATGTGCTCTACTTTCACCATGACGAAGTGCCGAATCCGGTTGAGTTCAAACCGCTTCGAAAGCAGGGCCGCGATGTGGTCCTGGATCTTCTTGGTCTGTGTGCGCTCGCTGTGGACGGCCCCCAACGACTTCTCCATCCAATCTCTGACCTCCGTATTCCACAATTCGAGAAGTAATTTTACAGCATCAGGATCATCATCAAGATGCTTCTCCCACTCCTCGGGGTAGAAAAGAGTGAAGTACGAGTCCAGCTCGGGCCGGCTGATGCGGCTCCCCGCAAAATTGACACACTGCAGAGTTGCAGCGATAACTGGCACGGCCTTGATGCCATTCAGCTGGTCCACATGCAGGGCCACCGTGAAGCCGGGCACAATATCTTGGTAGTACCTCTCAAAGTCGGTCGCAGCGATCACGAGCTCATCCTCACGTTCTCGGATGGGACGAAAGCAAGCAGTCACTTTATGCAGCTGCTGCTTGCGCAACTCATGCTTCGACATGCCATCATCCACTCGCACATTTCCAGCAAGGTGCAGCCCCAGCTCGGGCACTACGAAGAAGATCTCCTGCACCGTCGCCTCTTCGTCTTCCATGAGCTTGCTCTCAACCAGCACGATGCCATGCTTGGCCAGCCACCGTCTAACCGAAGCCTTCAGCCTTCGCATGCGCTCCAACGCCTGCATGAGCCTTTCCAGGTTTTTGTTCAGCTCCTTCCGGAAGGTTCCAATGTTCATGGCAAGCATCACGGTACAGGAGACAAGGATGCAGGAAATCCCACACACTGGTGGCGGCAGCCACCCATACTGGCTGGTGTAGACAAAGAGCAGCACCAGACACTTCAGGAGCTGTGTCAACGTCTCCAGCTCAAGAGCTACTTGCCACAGCGACGTCAACTTTGTCTGCGTCTTTCCCTCGTTAAGCGGAAGGTAGCGACCGGAGCTTCGGCTGACTTGCATCTCCGCATGCTCAGTCACGTTGGTAAACCAGTTTGCGAGGAAGCGATTGCCAAAGGAGATCAGCGCCAAAACGAGAACGCCAACGGCACAAGAGTTGCCATCGGAATCGGATTCGATCAGAACGATGGCGACCAGAGTCGAGAGGCGGTCCACAACGTAGGTGAACTGCTCGCCGTCACGGCTCTGTCTGAGCAGGATAGCAAGATGTGACTGCAAGGGCAGCTCCAAGCTGTCGACCGGCACCCTGATCTTGAAGTTGTCGCTGTAGCGCATCAGCTGTGGAACATGCTGAAGCTGCATTTTCATGTCTACACGGACGATGCACTCAACCGGATCCTCTGGCATCTTTAGGCCGTAGCTCTTGGCCCCGACTACTTTCTTTGGAAAGATCTGGAAGCACGAAGAGGAAGCATAGCCATGAATTGGCAAATGCCTCCGTTTCTCCCAGCGCCGCCGGAACACCTCAAAATCATGACCCAGGAACATCCTGTGGTCAAACATGATCTTCTGCTCGTCCTGACCGGGCTTGTCCAAGAAATCCCACCAAGGGCCCGCGTCTTCGTACAGGTCCTCCATCTTCATGAAGCAGTACCTGGCCAGCTCCTCAGTGTCATCGGAGGTATGCTCTTCTGGAATTAGCGCGGCCCGGTGCGGCCTCTTTTTCTGAATGTCCAACAAAACCTCGTCGAAATCTTTCCGGGCCACCTCGTCCAGCGTCATGTCCTGGGGGTCAAAGTACTTTGGGTGCTGCATACTGGTCCAATACAGCTGGAGCTTGAGTTGCGTGATCGACAGCAGAGACCGCCAAACCCACCTACGGATCTCATTCCTCTCCTCGATTGGGATGACCTCTGGGACCCGCAGCTTGTGATCCTCCAAAATTTTGCGCTGCATCTTGGTGCTTAGTAGACTGCTGCCCAACTGGCTCTCTTTCCGCCAAGGGAGGTCCCACTTCTCGAGGGCGATCCAGTGCCATTTGTCCGCATACTTGTATACAGATGTGCTTTGAACTCCCGGATCTTTCATCCTTTTCTCGAAAACGTCCCAGCCTTCTACTGGCTCCTTCGTCCAATGGCATTCACCTGACTTGCATCCGAAGCCCAGCTTCAGCCAGGAAAGATCAGACCAAGAGCTCTCTTTTTCGAAGTACACGAGGCGCTGGCCTGCTGGATTTTGTATGTAGCCACGCTTGTCACGGTACTCGTCCAGCCAAGCGTCGTTCCTTGTCTCGGCGAACCCGCTCCGAAGGCATCTGAGCTCTTCGTCGTCGTTCGCGAACCACCACTTTGTTGGATGGTCCACAGGCACATGATCACTGCCATCCTTCTTGGACATCTGTCTGAAAGGTTCGTGCGGCAGTAGGAAGCCTTTGTGCGTATCGACTCTCAGAATATTGTACTTGCTGAGCTGCATTTCTGCCAGTGCCTTGTTTTCAAGGTAGGAGAGGATCGCGAAAGCCTCGTCCTTGTCCACCCTTTCCCAGTCTTCACGACCCTTTTGCGACACCCAGTCGTCAACAAGGTCTGAAATATTCACGCGACAATCCTCAGAGGAGAGCCTGACTTCGGAGGCATTCACCGGGCTTGGTGCGAACCAGAAAGGATCTCCGACGGGGCCTGCTGGATCCTCTCCTGAACCCATGTAAGTGGAAGTCAGCTGCCTCAGCTGCTCCCTGCTCTCCCATAGACGCCTTGCGTGCGCTTCTTTTCTTTTTCTTTGCTTTTCCAGCAGCTCCCGCTCCGCTTGGTACGCCTTCCTCCTCCGGACCGCCTGCTTCCGAGAACCTGACGTCAGCGCGTTCTCCTCAAGTTCTTGTCGCAGCTGTTCCTGATCTGCCTCCTCAGACGCCCGATCGATAACTTCGTGCGACTTCGGCGTTCTTGACTCCTTTTGGAAGTTGATGCGCTGTCCATCCGGTGCAAGGATTGGAATGCAAGAACGCACGTGGCTGCTGACGAGGCCGCTTGCAAAAGGAATCCAGAACGGTGGATCCAGGATTACCTTCATCTCGTCTACGGACGCATCCACCCACCTGTTCATTCAAGATGCTAGATGGGTTCATCACATTGCTACATTGTTGCATTCAATCTCGCAGAAACGATTCCAGAAGCGCCGCCTCCCGAAGCTTTCGTTGAAGACCACGCCTTCGCTCAGTGGAGAAAGGTCCTCAAGGATCATATCCAGGGGGTGGCAATGCATGGATGCAGTATGCGGTGCACTTGGAAGGTGATTCACAAGCAGCCGCCCGCCTTCGGGTCATTCTCGGTCTGATCCTCCTGTCTTAGGCTTGCTAGCTTGCGGCGGTTGTGTCCTACGGTGTAGTGGTAGAGCAAGGTACCCGCGAAGATTACGTAGGCGACAGGGTAGACAAGGATCCCAAGCGCGACGAAGGCCTGCACTTGCCAATGCTCGGGATTCCACACGTAGAAGCTAATGATGCACCTCTGCGAGAACATCTTCGCTGCTGACTTGGTGAAGCCCACGAGACCCAGGTCCAAGAGCAGGAGGCCCAAGACTCCAGGCTCCAGGAGTTGCATCCGCTTCTGACTGTGGCGCATCACGAGAAACCAATAAGCAAAGTAGCTTCCACCAACACTCATCAGCAAGAACAACATGATAAGAAGGGTGCCGGCAGAGGTGTGAATCATCCGCCTCATGATGTTGAGCCTGTGCATGACATGCAGGAAGGGCACCACCTGACCAGAACAAGCGAGACGGTTGTGAGTGGTTGTGATTGTGAAACAAAACTTGCACTTCCTAGGTCGGCCTCCTTGACGGGGGACTGCTGACATGGAACCAGGGCCTGCAGCTCATCGAAATCGCTCTCCGTCACCCCATCTTCCTGTGCCATACGTGCGAATTCCTCCCACTCCTGTGGTGTCCACTCTGCGACCACGAAGGAACCGGAATCCTTGACGTCGTGCTCGAGCCGGTCGTAGGTCCCACGTTCCCCGCCCCGGGGCTCCATGCCCGACCCGCGGAGCCGCTTGGAAGAGTGCTGCGAGAGCTCGGCGAGCTTCTCAGTGAGCGTCTCCCTGGTTCGCGTGGAGTTCAAGGAGGAGAAGTAGGTCTCCAACTTTTTCTGCAGCTCGTGGGCGGTGGACGTGCTGTGGGCGAGCATCGCATTTGCCGCGATCTGCCCGGACGCCTCCAGAGCATAGCAGTACTGCAAGACCAGGACGCTGAAATCCTGGAGCCCCACCTTCTCAAAGGAGCGTTGGAGCTGCTCCACGGCTTTCCTGGGTTCTTGTTAAGGAACTTAAATTAAGCTACCATAATATGGATCTATTGCAAATGAAATGGTATCCTTATTATAGTATGATAAAATATATCCTTTAACAAGAACCCAGTTTCAGGCTGTACTCCTGGACATCCTCGAGCGTCGGCAAGCCCAGGTCGGGGAGGCGCTGTGCGATCTCGAAGTTCGCAGCCTTGAAGTGTCCAGCGAACTCCTGGGTTCTTGTTAAGGGATGCAATTTAAGTTACCAGAATAAGGGAACCATATTATCTACTATAGATCCCTATTATGGTAACATATGGTAACTTAATTCGTTAACAAGAACCCAGACTCCACATAGACCTCTGGGGTGCCCTGCATGTCCGTGGTGAGATCCATGAACCTCAGCATCTCAAGGCGGGCGCTGGAGCAATTGAAGCTCAGTTTCTCCGACTACGTCGCAGGTACATGCCCCAAGAAGCGCAAGAATCCGTAGCGTTAGGGCATTCTCACGCATTATCTACATGCAAGAAAGTCCAGCAACTGAATTTGACTGGTCAGGGCCATGAAATTGCTGGCGGAGGTGACCGCCATGATCAGGGCGGCTGCGGTCGCCCAGTTTGAGAGCTGTTGTGCGAAGCGTGCTTTCATCCACCACGGAGCATCACGCTCCAGGTAGACCTCATAAGTTCGGGTCAGATTGCTCGAACTGATCACATGAATTGGGACGGTTCCGTACTCGCCGTAGGCGAACTTACGGCTCCAGCTCTTCCCGGACTTCCACGGTCTGCGCTTGACATCCGAGTAGTTCATGTCAAGGTAGGGCTTGGAGGACTCCTCCAGGGATGGCATCATGAGAATGCAGCCCTTGCACTCAGAGTCCACGATCGGAATGATCTCTGGAGATCGGGTGTTGTTCCACCAGAACTTGCAGCGGTACTTTGTGATGTCGGGCTGGAAGAAAGGCTCCATCTGGCAGGCCGTCTTGCCCAAGGACAAGCCTTTCAGGTAGCTGTAGTCCTCCAACAGGGAACGTCCCATGGGCTAAAAAGCAGCTACACTCTGCCAGAATTCCTGGTTGCAGACACGTGCTCTCATGCTCTCCAGCCTCTGCGGCTGTCGTGGCTAACCACAGACACCCTGCGGCCAATCCAATGCGGCTGCAGGGCGCCATGGTCAAACAGAAAGGTGCCGTGAAACTTGCTACTTACGCCTCCCTGCATGAGTGCTCTCATGCTTGATGTGCACTGGAATCACTAACCTGCGATGATGTCCAAGCTTGTGTTCGATCGTTGCAGGCCGATGCTGCTTGTGGATGAAATTCTTCAGATAACTCGCAGCGGCGAGCAAGTGCATGAACACTGGGCAGAGGCTCCTCTGGCGCAAGCCAGACACACGTCCTGCTCTCCGCAGCTGACGAGAGTAAGGAATAGCTCCAAAGCAAAAACCCAAACCCAAAGTTGCAGAGCCAGCTTCTTAGGATCCCTACATACAGCAATCCCGATTGCAAAGGACTCCGGTAGCTGGGAGGCAACTGTTTGAAGCTGTGGGCGAGACTGGAGCAGCGCAGACCCATCGCTGGCTCTGCCTTTGGAGACGGGGGACACAGAGTAGGACTCTGCGGAGTCATGATGTCAAGAGCTCTCCTAATGGGGCTAGGCCTGAGGCCTCTGCTTCGGTTCGAGCATCTTAAAGACTCTGAGGTGGCAGTATCCGGAAACCGTAGACCTGGAAATCTCCGATGTTCGAAACCTCCTTCTCTGAAAAAACTCGAATACGGATGGCCCCCACCCCTCTCCGGTTATGCAAAGGTTCCTGTGGTTTTTGGCGCATGAGTCGGAATCGCTGGCACGATTCAAAGGGGAGTCTCCCAAGATCAGGGGTCTCAAACTCCAGAGATCGCATTGCCGCTGCAAGGACTGAAACAGATGGACCTGCATAGTGTTCGATACTCTGACATCTGTTGGCAGTCTTCAGCGAGCGGGGATTGGAGTTCAGCAAATTGCCTACTTGAGATCATAGGTGGGAAACATTTAAGATTGGGATCCAATGTTGGTGGTTTTTACAATCAGACTCATCAAGCTGTCTCGGTGCGAGGGTTCCCCATTCTCTGAAACTCACATATGCCTTGGGACGCAGGTCATCACAGCCGCCTCAACAGGCAACTGCAACCCAGCAGTATGAGAGACGGTCGCCGGAGTCTTCCCACCGAGGCCTAAACCTCGGCGACCTGGCGGCTCTGGCAGGCTTTGAAACACGCGCGCAGGGCACCAGGCCTACACCTAAAATCTCTTCCGCTAACACATGCAAGGGAACGAGACCCAGCACCTATCCAACGACCGTCATGCCGAGCTCTGAGGGTGCCAACCAACTTTGAGCATTGAGAGTTGGAGAAGGGTTTCGGATTTATGGTTCAGGGGTGGTGAATGATATTGTCCCCCGTTTCGAGGAGCCCTTTTTGAAGAAAAGCAGACCCATGTCAACATCCTTGACACAAGAAGAGCATGCATCCTCGAACCCTAGGCCCTCAGTCTTGATCCTTTCAGACCGTTGAAGCCGAAACCCAAGAGCGTCAAACTCCATTGCCCTAACTAGCAGCTCCTGCCACAACCGCTCCCGCAACTGCTGGTCATTCCATGCGCCTGATCCACGTATACAGCGGATCCTGACTCCCAGGCCGGGCCGAAGATACCTACACTCTTGATTTGATATCGTGTTCACATACGAAATGACTAGATGACTGCGGAACCACCCTGTCACTGCACTCCTGTAAGCCGAGGATGCCCCTGCATGCCTTGCTACTCTCAAAGGAGCATCAGCAGGAAACGCTGCAGTCGGAGTCAAGATGCAAGAGCTTTACTTTGAGGATCTGCCGACATAAGGCGGAATAGACTACGGTACTGCCAATCTCTACGCTGTGTCTGCATCTGCACACACAGCTTCGTGGTTTCGGGTCTTTGTCGGCTCTTGGCCTACATTTGCAGTTCATGGCAAACGGGGTGTGGCAGAGCCTGGATTGCGGGTTGAAAGGATCGTACGATCCGCAGGAGGTGAAAATGATCGAGGGCTTTTCGATAGGCGCGAAACCTAACCTGGCTTTGTGAGCTCTGACAATGTTGGCTGGGCTTTGCAGGGTTTGTGTTGGATCTAGAAATCGTGATTGGAAATAGCGGCCTTAGTGGGGAGCCGCTTTGCGCAGTGAAACGGATCCCATGTTGGAAGAAGGCTGCAAGGCAGACTGTGAAACCCGAGCGTGCTTTCCTACGGTGTGGGAAGAACAAGGAGTGAACAAGAGCATGCATATCAAGCAAACCCAAGCCAAAGCGTTCCCGTTGCTAAATTCCAAAAGGTGTTTCGGGGTTGTGATGCCAAGAGGGAAAACTCAAAGAAACGAGTTTTCCTGATTTTAACAAGAAAGCAAACATGCAGGCCCAAAACGGAGCCTGTGTGAAGAGGGCAGCTGCACTGCCACACACAAACAACTCGCAACCTAAAGGTGGGCAACAAAATTTTCTTGCTGCCTGAAGCTTGAGCATGCGCGACACGTTTACAACGTCCGAGCAAATCAAGTCCCATCAATCAATCAAAAAAATCTGCAAAGACAAAAAAACAAAACAATCACACTGACCTCTTCTCATTCATGGCTAGAACGACTTGAGAGTCGCCCAGCCTCGATTTCCATTCCATTCGACTTTTCCCATGTCTGGCAGACAGTGTTTGAAGCTGGAGAGCCATGCTTGCATTGGCTTAAGCCAAGCGGAGCTCGAGTAACTGTGAACTTTGCAATAACAAAAATCAGTCTTTCGTCAAATGGATACAAGGTGCGCACGCGCGAAAGCACTCGCACGACAAGCAGAACACCTTATTCCTTAAAAGAAACAAATAAACTCAAACTCCCACCATGCAAAAAACTATGATGCGCGCGCGCATCATGTTGCTTCTACGCCATAACAGCAATTTTGGAATAAAGGCACCCAAAATCAGAACAGCCCACAACATGAAACGCACTCCGCTGGACATCCAGAGATTTGGAAATGTAACTTTTCCGCAAATTGAAACTACCCTGTGGGGGCTCCTGCTCAGCTTGCCTGTACTCTCCAATGTCTTTTCTGACCATGCATAAACCTGGTCTAGGGGGGGGGTTCGAACCTGGGTTCAACCCAGGTTCGAACTCTTTTCCTTTTCAAATGAAGTTGAATTTTTTTTCCGAGTTGAGATTGGTTTGCGAGTCCACCGTCTTGGTGTTTGGGACCGGAGTCCGTACTGCTATGTACCACTACACTATCTTGAGCAGCAGAGGCGACTGTACAGGTAAAGCCTTCTGCTACTGGTACCACTACTACTGAGGGTGTGACCTCAATCCTACGAGGTCTTTGCCTCAGCCTCTCACTAGAGGGTGGCACCTCTTGCTGCTGCTAAGCTCCACCGAGCTCCACCATCCGCTCCTCTTCTCCCTACTCGGTCAGGGGGTAGCCCCAGTCTCTGGGGTAGCCCTTTTTCTCTACCCACATCCCTTTCGTGTCAGTAAGAGGGCAGCCCTCTGGGTGCACAGCAAGAAATTCTGCACTAAACACCCTGCGACCCCTCGGCCACAGGTACCAATTACCTGTACAAATTGGTTGCTGGCCCTTCTAAACAGGGTTGTCCGTCTGCTTTGCTGAGAGGGAAATCTGCCATATCTGCTCAGCACGCAGCCCTGTGGGCCCTGGGCAGTGAAGTCCGCCAATTCACAGCCCGAGGATGCCACCTCCTCACTCCTGGTTCTGGTCTGGCACTCCAGGTCACTGTGCGGAGGGTTCCAGAAAGCACCTCATGCCTAATTACCCCGTGCGAGGGTGGATGAGACCACTTGACAAACTGGGTTTACATCACCGGGTTAGGCCACTGCACCCCTCAACTCGTTATCTTTGGCGCAGGGTCGACGACCTCCCCTCGACAAGGCGCGGGGCCACGCTTTCCCCTCGATTCCCCATGCACAAGTGCACTGGCGCAGGGAACGACGCCGAGCAGAAGCCAAACCCAGAAACATAAACCTCAGGTAGCACCTAGAGAAGGGGATCTCGCCTCTGGTAGCTGTCCCTCTCACAAGTGCCACAGTGTCTGGGATCCCGGGGAAGGCGCCATCCTTAACCCCAGGGTCGGTGTGGATTTACTGCAGATGAGTCTCAGGCAGGGCCTAGGGCCTAGGTGGACAAAGAAAACTCCTGAACCTAAGCCTGGTAGGACTGGGCAATTCCCAGCATTGACAGAGGTCCGGAAGGCCCAATATACCACTCATCTCAAGAGGATGAACCTCTGGCTGTGTGAGTCACGAAGAAACTGCCATGTTTTTACACTGGCTAAAACTCAGTGTTGGCGTTGCCCGGTACATGTCGCAGGCTTCTGCATGTAGCAGGCTTCCGGAAGGGGCATGTGCTTTGGCCCATTGGCCACTACATCACGTTCCCTAATCGCCACTGCAGACTCCCAAACTTCCAGCTCCCTAACTTCCAGCTCTCCAGGGATTGCAAGCGGTGGCAACAGGCTGTACAGACCAGTTGCTCAAGTTCGCCGCAGCTCCGGCTTTCACTCTCTTACTAACCGTGCCTTGCGGTCCCCCCGAGCATACTGGGCTGATCCCTGCCCGCCGGCCCTTGCCCCTATCTGTTCGGGTCAGAGGGTCTGCACCTCTCTGCTGCCTCGGTGCCCCTTGGCCACGAGGCCTACGGAAGGCATCCCTGTTTTTTACATGCTCGCTGAAACTCTGCTCCAGGGACTAGGCATCGCGGAAGTGCCCTGCCCTGGTAGTTCGCTCCAGTCGAAGGATGCACCTTCCCTCTCGGCTCACCTCTGAGGTTATGATAGCCAGGCTATCCCTCTTAGAGGGTGGGCTCCATGGCATCTAGGCGGCTACCCCTACCTGAAAGCGGCCTACCACTTGCCTTCTCACTCGAGCCGAGAGCCTTGAGCCAAATGAAGTTGAACCTGGGTTCAACCTGGGTTCGAACTAATTGAAGGGTGTAAGTTGTTCTGGGGTTCTCTGGACCTGGGTTTGAACCTGGGTTAAACCCAGGTTTGTTAAATCCAAGTTGAACTTAGGTTGAACCCGGGTTGTACCTGGGTTGCTCCAGTTGGTGGGGAGCCTCCCGAGACTGGGATCAGACCCAAAGCTCAGAAGGTAACACCTCCGAAGCCAGTGCAGAGCCCGCCCCTGTGGAGGAGCAGGACCAGGAGCCCCCGGCAGACCTCAACACGGGGACCAGGCCAGCAACCGAAGGAGGTAACCTTATTCTCCAAGCAAGCAGCCGCGGTCGGGCAATGGCCTGGCCATCAGTTGCCTGACCGGGCCGGTCAGGTACCTGACCATCCTTGCTTAAGGGGGCTCAAGGGTAGTGTATACCCTCGACCGGGAACCCCGCTGGGTCCTAAAGGTAGGCCTCCAAGATTCCCATTACTTTACCGCTTGTACCAAATTCGGTTTGAACCCAAAAGCCAAGATCCCAAACAAGGAGAGGCAAAACACAGAGCAAGCACTGCATGTCCTTCATCTTCTTTTTCATCAATGGGCGAATCAAAGATCGTATCCTATCATGTGCCGGTGCACACAGTGCGGTGCACATACATTGCACATGCGTCTCACCATACACAAGCGAACCTCAAGCCCCCTTTGAGGGCGAGGCAGCTGTACATGCAACACTAGTGGGAGTGCCGATGGCACGCAGGGAGTTGCAGCCGCTTCAGCGGGCCCTGCTATTGCGATGCCCTGGGTGGGCCGGGTGGGTCAAAAATTTTGCACTGAGCTGCAGAGCCAGTGCTGCACACACATCTTCCAGCATATGCAGTTGCAAATCGTCGTTGGCAGTACCAAGCGTGACAAGCATCAGAAACTTTTGGGCTTCAAACCAAGACCAAACGGCACACCGTTTTTCTTACAGACAATTTGGTAGCAAACGATAAAACACCATTCGCTCGCGAACAGTAAGCTTACCGCTTGTACCAAATTCGGTTTGAACCCAAAAGCCAAGATCCCAAACAAGGAGAGGCAAAACACAGAGCAAGCACTGCATGTCCTTCATCTTCTTTTTCATCAATGGGCGAATCAAAGATCGTATCCTATCATGTGCCGGTGCACACAGTGCGGTGCACATACATTGCACATGCGTCTCACCATACACAAGCGAACCTCAAGCCCCCTTATTAGCCGACAGTCCCAAGCATATGGCATCCAGGTGCTCCGACACGTCGGAACACGGGACACTGATGCCACCCCACAACAGGTGCTTGGACACCAGCCTCGACGGGTGATCTTTTTTTTCATTCTAACGCGTTCACTGAGTCAGTGATTCGGCGGGCGCAACACACACAGTTGGTGTGGCCATTATGGCGCGCCGGACACCTACCGCCTTCCATGGCGGCGCGGACTATTGCCGCGAAAAGAAAAGTATGTACCAGTTGCGATTTATATGCTGTACATCCCTAGCCGTGGCGTTGAATGGCGTCCTACCATCATCTACCATCTGTAGGGCCGAAGTTGCGGCTCCTTTGTCAAAGGCCTCAGCAATCGTCTCCACCTCAGAAGAAGAACTGCTCTGTGGTTTGAGACAGAAGCATCTATAGTGCCCAGTGTGTGGGGTGTCCCCTGTGTGTACAACACCAGAGATGAGCCGGTATTCGCTCGTGCTGAGTTGTTGGGTATTGCCGTCTTTGAAAAAGGGAACTCTGATGACTGGATTGACGGTGACCGGGCTGCGGACCTTCTTAATACGACCACCCTTTTCCTGAAAACGCAGAAGCTGTAGACTGAGTATCACGGGAACGTCAGCCAGTGCGGTCACATATTCCTCGTTGCGAGGTCCCGGCTGTACGCTCCAGGAGTTCAGCGCCAGCTGTGTCGTGGTCTGACCTGTGCATGGCAAAGGGATCAGAGGCACCGCCGTGTTCCAAGCCCGGACTGTGGCCGGCTCCCGTTCACTAACTCCGGAAACCCTGGACTCCCATCTGCCCAGCAAGATCCTAGGGACCCCGTCCTTTGTTAGATGTTGCAGAAGTTCTGCAGCATCATGCTGTTGGTGGAGGTCACGCCAGCCTTGTAGAAGCTGCATGCAGTCTTTTCTCCTGTTTAGTTGCTGGGGCTTGACACATTTGGTCAGCGCATTAAGCATGGGGCGTAGACATCCAAAGCCCGCTTTGTCCGGCGGCCTGACTTGACCAAACAGGTGCAGCAGCGCTTGGATCATGGAGTTGAGGTAGCAAAGGTTGGATGGGTTTTCAAGCACACAATGCTGATGTTGCATAGGGCATGGTGCATCAGTGACTTTTTCCCCCTGGCCCTCTGCTTTCTCCTGGCTATGGGATTTAGCGTCCGCCCCCTGTGCTGGCTGACCTGTCCCCTTCAGCCATTCCCCTATGCTCCGTGATCTCCTTGAACCAGGACCACTGTCGCTAGGGATGTTGGGGCCGTGAGGCGGCTTCCCGGGGTAAATGTTCTTTGCAAGATCACGGTGCAACACACCCTCAGGCAGACACTCCAAACCCAACTTGCCCTTACTAGTAAAAGTACTTTGGCGAGAAGGCTTCATTGCCTTCTCGTCGCGTCGATGGCCCGCTGTAGGTCCTCTGGAAGTGGCTTGTGGCTTCTTTCCGGGCGGATCCTGGCTCCTATGAGCGCGGTGGCCGCTGTCTCCGTGAGAGCATGGAGTGCCTTGTTGATGTTGGGCCGTGCATCGGCGTCCAGGAGACTGTCAGCACGAACGTCGTGGCTCCTGGCCTGTCCTCCTTGACTCCGCCTAGAGCATGGAAGCGCTGGATGACGTTGGGCTTGACGGCCTCTCGCATCAGCAGTTGAACTGCCTCCTTTGCATCCTGATGAGAGAGCGGGTTGCCCTCTCTGGGCTCCTGGAGTTTCTTGTCCGGATTCCATCTCGTGTACGACCACGCCATTGGTTCTGCTACGAGCATCTTCCTCTGAATGAGTGGCGCCTGTGCCGCCTTGTCGCCCTCCATCTTCGCAAGCCGAGCTTGCAGCTCCAGCAGGAGCGATCCCAGGAGAGCCTGGCGAAGGCTGCAGGTGCACTTGTTCTGCTCTCGGCTCTCCTTCCAGGTGGCCGTGGTCTTGACCAGCTGAGGTATGATGCCCATCGCTCCAGAGTCCATCCAGAGAACCCAACTTCTGTCGGCCTCCAGCAGTTGCAGCGCCATGGCGTGCTGGCTGACATACTTGGTTAGAACTTGCACTTGCTTTGCCAGCTGCTGGTTTGGGGCCGGGATCGGCTCCCTTTTTGCTTTGCCTGGGCCTTTGCCCTCCCTGCGACGGAATTTCCGCCCCTCGCCGTTCTCCTCCTCGGTCGGCCTGTCCCTCATTATGAGTTCCATCGGGCTGTGCTGCCCCCACATGTTCGCCACTTCCTGCAGTGCTTGGTCGTCCATGGCGCGACAGAAATGCGATTTGCAAGAGTGGCAGGCACTTTTGAGCGTGAACCTTCGGGGTTTTGTGGTAGGTCACTCCGCAATGCCGGCATGGTCTAGCTAGCGGCAAACCGTGTACCAACTCTGCAAATCCCTCAGCTCGCTTCCAGGCCTCCTTGTGCTGGTTGGCACAGTGTCGCCTCCAGTCCTGTTGATTCGTCAATCGCTGAAGGCAAAGTCCACAGTGCCGTGTCAGCATGTCAATGACCTCGCTGTCTCCTGCCTCCATTTTGCCCTGCCTGTGCACGTCGGGGTTGAGCTGCCTGGCAAGGAACTCATCAGTGATGCAAGTTCTCACATCCCTGGCGACGGGGGCCGTGTCCGGCGCCCCAACCTTATGCCATGCTGTGGCTAAGGCTGTTTGGAAAATAACCGTGCAGCTCCGAGTGTGCCTGTCGGGTTGGTACACCATGACCTCACAAAGGTCGCAGACACTGTCACGGGTGAGGTGAGATTTATACAGCGCACACTCAGTGTCCAGGTTGCCAATACTTGCATGCCATATGTGTGAGTGCATTCTCTTGATGTGCTCCTTAACCGAGCCTCCCTTAGCAATCCACTGTCCACAGAAGCCACAGTGCTGAATGAGACTCCTAGCGTGATCTCTGACGATCTGCAGCTTAGAGTCCGACTGCAGTAGTTGCTTCGCCACTTCAGGTCTACGCAGCAACGGGATCGTCGGCTCCTCCTGGGCAGGCTGTACCGGTTGTTGCCGAGCGATGGTGCTCGAGGGATGGGTGTCTTCAAGTATGCGTGGCTCCCTGTCTGAGTGACCCCTAGGGGGGGTAGCGATGTCCTGCTGTTCGGCCTCCCGAGTGGGGCCGGGTGGCATCTGCCAGCCACAAACGTTGTTGAGGATGTGATTCCTCAGCGCGTCCCATGAACCCGTCTTAAGACCACAATGAATGCACTGTGGCATGCCACCAGCAGAGTGATCTTGTTGTTGATACATGTCATCATCATGCCGGTGCGAGCTCACATACACCTTGTGGACCCTTCCCCTGTGCTGTCTCATTGTTTTGTTTGATGGGAAGTACACTCCGCAGACTGGGCAGGCCACCGGCTGCGATTGTTGCGCGGGCACCGGGATCAGCCTGGAGTCGGGCTCCGCATCGATGTTATCTGTGTGGAAGATGAGGTATTGCTGTAGCATACTTTCCCAATACTGGAGAGTTTGTGGCTGGTTGATGATGCTCGCTTCTGCAACCCGAAGCTTGTCAAGTTTGTGCCGAATCCGTTGCACAGTGGCATCTATAGGATCCTGAACACCTAATCTTTGCCGAAGTTGCTTGTTAGTCTCATGCGAGATGTGGGCAGGTGAGTCCGCAACGGCTCTTAGTTGACGATAGAACCAACCCCTGAGGAGTGCCACCGCCTTGGCAGAGGGCGCGAAAGCAATGAGGCCAAATGTAGCACTCGATGCAGCACAGGCCTGCCAGATGCGTACTCTATGCGCTAAGCCGAAGACTTTCCTGGACCTGGTCGCCTTTTTGATTTTGCCAGTTCTCTTGTTAGCTTCAGCAATACGGTAGCCTACCACTTTGTGCGCTTCCGTTTGGAGGGAAAGGTGCGTCCCTAGGTATGTAGTGTAGCAGGCAATGGGGATTAGCGCCTCGCTCCCATCAGGGTGTCGCGCCCGCCACCATTTTTTCCCGTCCTTATACACTACATAGTCCTTGAGCGCGCGTCTGGCCCCAGGTCCGCAAACTTTCAAGAGCAGGACTGTTTTGGTAAGGTTAACCAAAAGCCCCATGTCCTGCATGACCCCCAGAAGTTTGTTGATGAAACTGCTACGTTGGGCAATGTCCGTGGAGTTTTCAATGAGCCATTGCACTAAGGTATCGTCGGCAAAAGTGGTTGCTTGTCTGTGGGGGCCTGAGAGGGCATCCCCCAGCCGCTCCAGCAAAAGGGTCGATATTGCCACCCAAAGCATGGGGGCGATCTTACATCCTTGGCGGATGCCTCGCGTTGTACCCACTGTGCTTTGTTCCTGATCACTGATAATGTGATACCGTGATGTGTCTAGGAGGGAGATAATCTCGGCCGTCATGCTTTCTCCCGCACCAAGGTCTTTTAGCGACTGGGCTAGTGCTTGACGGTTTACTCTGTCAAAGGCCTGTTTGAGGTCAAGGCTGAGGATGGCTCCCCCGACGCAGAGTTTTGTGTTGTCCGGATTTTCCTCCCTGTCCCTTTGGGCGAATTTGCTGCTGTTTCCTCGTCCGTAACACCTTTTGAAGTTGTCAATCCACACCTGCACTCTAGCCAAGGCATCGTACAAATCCCTCCCCGGCTGATAGGCAAACTGCGGCACCCTGCGCAGCTGGGGCCGAATCAGCTCATAGAGTCTGATTTTGAGAAGCCCTGCAAGGGCTTTGGCATCAGGAGACATGAGGCCTATTGGCCTGAGCGATGAGGGCTCGCATGGGTCTTTGCCCGGCTTTGGGAGCCAGACTATCCACGCGTCGGTCCACTGAAGAGGGAGTGTGATCCCTGGTTGGTGAGAATGCTGGTCAAATGCCATCTTCAGCAGCCTCGCAACCTGTGGGGCCGCTAATCGCCATGCAGAAGCAGGAGCTACTCCTGGAGGGACGGCTTTCCCAATCTTGATGGACTTCAGCTGCGATTCAATTTCCTCAACCGTGAAAACCAAGTTAAGACCTTGCTCCTCCCTAGCCGGCTGCTCTGTGTCCGGAGCGAAAAGATCTTCGCTATAGCTCACCAGGGCTTCGTGCTCCTGTTGGAGAGTGAGGAGTCGGCCGCTTGGGTCCTTAATCATGACCCGTTGTCTAGGTTGCCAGGGTGCTAATCTCCGAACAACCTGATACACGGTTCGTTGGTCCCCGTTATCAGCTGCCTGCTCAGCCTTTTGAAGTAGTTGGAGGATGTCTTCGCGCTTCTTTTCCTTGCATTGTTTCTCAGCAATTTTGACTTGCTTCCGCAGGGCAACCGTAGCTTTCCATCCCCGAAAGAGTCTGGATTGGAAGTACCACCAGGGGTTGTTTTCCAGGTTTTCCCTTTCCGGCTCCCCTGGGGGCCGTACGGTGACGTACTCGGCCTCCCTTCGCTTCTGCCATAAGTGCTGCACAATGGGGTTGGATGGAGGGTTGGGTTTCCTCTCCAATGGGTAGTGGTTCTGGCAAGTGTCAAGAAGGGTGGAGTTGATGTTGGCTGGGGTGGGGTCCGTGAGGGCGTTGAGGGCTGTCGTAAGGGCAAGCTGCAGGGTATGTGCCCCCTCCTCCCGATTACGTATCTCGTGATCCAGTTTGTGCCTGTCCAGCTGGGGGTTCGTGGATCTTTTGGGGAGCATGTGATGGTTCATGAGACGGATGGTTGTGTGAAGCGCCATGTGACCGACGTGCCGTCTCCAGTTGCCAATTGGTGGGGCCGTCACTTTGACGTTCTTGGCTTCCCAATCAGCAGATATGGCTCTGGTCAGGATGAAGTCGATTTGGCTCTTTCCCGCCCCCCGCCCCCCCGTTAAATTGTACTGGGTAGGCGTGGCTGGACCGCGCCATGTGTTAAGGGCAACCAGACCGAGATTATCCAGGAACGTGTTGAGGTCCCCGGGGCCAGTGCGTCTGCCCCGACATGGAATGGGGTCTGGCAGGTTGAACGACCGACTAATGGAGCATGTGGAGTGACTTCGGCCTGGAAATCCCCCACCACAACCACCGTGTTGCGCATGGAGAGACCCCTAACACAACCACTCAGTTTTTCAAGGAGTTTAGCCCGCTTTTCCCGCAGGACTTCGGGGCGTTGTGCAAAATTATGTGGGTGCTGATAGCAATTAACCAATTCGACCCTCCCTTGTGCAGTCGAGATCTGTGTGCGCAGGACTCTACCTGGAATCACCTCCTCATGCCGGATGTGTGTTGCTTGGTGTCTCGGATGCACCAAGGTGAGAACACCATCAGCTCTGGCAGCTGTTCCTGAGTGTACCGCAAACCATCCTTCCAGTTTATATGTGGAGCTTGTGCTAAGGTGCGTCTCCTGCAGGCATATGAAGTCGTATTTAGTACTTTGCTGTTTGAGCAGCTCTCGGAGTTCTTGCCACATGAGGACCGATAGAGCTCCGACGTTCAAGGACAGGACATGAATCCTTGCGATCCCGTGTCTACCTCCCCGCGCGCCTCTTCTCTTATACTGATCCAGCGGCACTCTCTGCGCTGCTCGCACCTGAACATCAGGAAGTTGTGACCGCGTGCACCATTTCCCTCGGTACCAAGCCCCTCCCTGCACTCTAGCTGTGTGAACTGCTCTACGAAGCGCTCTCTTGGATCCCGGTAGGGTGTGCGCGTGATCGGCAATGTGATCTGTGGCAGGTGCAGACCGAGCTCCCTGCCCAAGGCATAGGACGCACAGCAGCCTCAGCGCGCGGCTCCATATAGTACAATGTGGCGCTGTTTGTCGATTATGTCGTGAGTGTCGCGTAGGAGGTGTCTCTTTGGCTCGATGCATGAAGCTGTGTCTCGCCACGCCTAGGAGACATGTGCTAAGCAGGAATGCAAATGCACTGTGGAAAAACGGCGTCCTGCCCGGTACATCCATTAAACAATTTTGCGGCTCCCACACGGGGCCGAGGCTCATCCCTTCTCTCAGCCTTTTAGTCATTTCCAAGTCGTTCTTCCATTGCCTCCCAGTGCTGGAGGAGCTTATGGGCTCGCCGTCTTTGGTCTGCCGGTCGTAGTGCCCTGAGGTCATGTAAGAAGGCCTTGCACATCTGAGTGGATGTGAGCGCCGGCGCTGCGCTTGTAATCGTCCAGGTCGATGATCTGGCTGGTGTCCGCTGCACGGAGCACCCATTGCTGAGGTGTCCTCGGCTCCTTCGTGGGGCCGTCAATCTGCTGCTGGCCATCACCAGAGGCCGTCTCATCTGTCCGTTGCCTCTTTGAGGCCGGGGGCACCACTGTCTCATCCTCCGTCTCGCTCCATTCCAGGAGCTCGGCTGCCCCTCTGGGAAGACGATGTCGGCGGATGGGTTGTGGGACCTCAAGGGCCGCTGGCCGTGATGGCCACCATAGCATAAGCTCCTACTGACTGCTAATTGGCAGCGAAGAGCTGCACTAAAGGCCGATGGTGGTACCTTTTCAGGGCAAGGGATGGCTGCCGTCATGGCACTTAGCTCATGCACTGCAGCTTGTGTGTTCCTGCTTCCATGGAAGTCCATGCAGCAGATTACGCAACTGAGGTACAACCAGATACAAATATGCATAAGTTTTGGTGTCCGGCATAAAGGCGCGCCCCCCGCCATCTTCCCACCTGCGGAAGTGCATGCGTTGGTAGCATGTATAGGTCCTTCCCCCGTGGGGGGCCCGGGGGAAACCTTCACCTCACCCTTGCCTTGGAATGTAGTCTTCTTCTTATTGTAGTAGGAAGGGCCGGCGGACTTAGGACCGCCGCGGTGACTGAGGAATTTCTGGTAAACGTCGTGAATTCGGAGGGGTGTATGGAGGGGTCTGCGTTTGTACTTTCCTTTAGTGCGTCTATGCGTTATCCACTTATTGCCCGGCTTAGGTTCGTTCCTATATCGGATCAGTAGTGAAAACGCAGTGCACCACCCCAGCAAAATCCCTCTAGGCCAATCCTCCTTAGATCTCCTAGATTCAGTCGACCACTGATCGTCTTCCACTGAGGGGTTGGCAGATCCGGCTCCCCAGCAGGGCCGTGCATGTAGGATAACTGCCTGCGGGCGGTTGACATGCTCCGGGGGCACTGATGTGGAGATAGGCTGGGATTTGGCTAAGAGGGTGTGCATGTGGTGGCTTTCACGCATGTGAGTTGTCGGATAGTGCCTTTTCTGTGCAGCATATCTAATATGCTGATCGCTGCTATTCTGGGACCTGGTGTTATTCCTGGGCTGTCCAACTCCTAGACCTGCGCCCTGATTTTCACCAGCCACGAAGGAATCGATCACCTTTTCGGCACTCCCTGTGGGGGCCGTCGGAGAGGAGAAATGGGGTGTGCCTCCCATGTCGGTCGGCAGGTCCCGGCTCATGATTAGGCGTATGTGGGAGGAGCCCTGGATGTCGCACCATTGATAGCGCTGTCTGTCCCTGACATCAACAATCCAGCGGATGTCCCCTAAACTGATGCCATGTGCCTGCAGAAGAGGGCTGCAGGCTAGCTCGATGGCCGAGGCAAAACCGTCTTGTCTGACTTGCACCCCGTAGCGATGACCCGGTTCTCGCAAGATCTCAGTGAGGACACCGTTAATGTCATCACGTCGTGTAGGACTGTCCGGTGTTGCATCCGTCCTGGAGGTGATTGTCGGGTCTCGGGCTGATCTGCGGGCCGGGGTACGGCTCCTGTCCTGCGCGCTGCCCTTGTCGTGGTCCTGTTCATGGTCCTGAGGCTCGGTGACCGCAGTGCTGGAGGATGAGGCCGTCTGGGCACGCTGGGCCGAAGGAGTGGGAGCGCTGACGGAATTCGCATCCAGGAGTGTCCACGGCCACCCCTCTGGTGTGTCGCGTTCCCGGGTTCCCTCAGCCGGAACCCTCTGTGCTGGGGCGTCCCGCTGAGTGGTGCCGGCTGATCGGCTCCCGCGGCTGCCTGCGCCAGCCTCCCTGGTCTCTCTTTGTTCACGTTGTTCCCGACGTCTGGCTAGCTCAGTGCGTGTCCGTCTCCTCTCACCATTGGGCCGAACCCGTGCCCGAGGGTGTCTGCGCGGGCTGCGCGGGCTGTTTGCCATCTTGAGCCTAATCCTTGCATTATCCCTGTTTCGGGCTGACGGGGCCGAGGGTGAAACGAATGTGCTGGTGTCGTGTCGCCTCGTCCTGTTCCCAACGGGTCTAGGGGCCTCTTTAAGCAACCTTCTATGGTCAATTGATTGCCTAAGTGAGATGGGCACTGACAACGTACGGCAGGGTACACTCGGTCTTATGTGGTGCTCGTGTCCTAGAGGTCTCCACTCAAGGGTTCGCGCCTGCGAGTCCGAAGATGTCCAGGCAGTGTCTGCACAAATTGGATGTGGCTCGGAGGCAGCTTTGACCTGGGTGCAAGATCGCACTGTGGGAATGCAAGTGTCTTGCAATGGGCACTTTGGGTGGGTGATCCATGTGTCACACAGTCCATGCAGTGCAGGCACTCTCGACATGTATTGAACAGCTGGCATTGACTCCATTGCGTTGCACAATCGGCTCGCCTCTAGGGGGCCGTCAATGCAGTCAGGCCTATACAGGTATGGCATGAGCGCCTGAAAAAACTCTGGCCAATGCGTCTTCCACTGCAGCTGGAGATACAGTGCTCGGGGCAAATTTTGCAGCCCATCGTGCAAGTGGCTGGCGAGGCGGGAAACGCCGGCAAGGATGTCTAGCTCAGCCTGACCCTGTGTCGTCCATAGGGAGTGCATCCAGGATTCAACGAGATCTCCTCCTGTTTGCCAGCTCTGCACCTGTCCGAGCTTGTCATGCGTCAGCAGGGCACCAACCAGTGACCATATCCAACGACCGACGTTATCCGTGAGGAGCGGGCTGTCGATGTGCTGGCCCCGGATGTCGTAGGCTTCACCCTGCTGAGCTTTGTGGTATAGGTCGTGCCTGAACTTGTAGTGTCCCTGCATCTGGAAGGCCGTGAGGCTCGCCCCCGGGTTGCTAGGCAAGAGCTCGCCCAGAAGCTGCTTTGCTTTGCCCAGGTGTAGCCTTGCCGCAGCATTTAGTCCCTGGTGCGGCGGCACCCTCTCGGGGCCGATTGTTTGGGCCCTCCTGACCGCACCACGTGCGTCGCCTCCTCTTCGTGCACCACAGACCTCACCGCTTGTCTCCTCAATCGGATGCTCATCCGCCTTCATTGCGACGCTCTGCAGCGGCAGCCCCTGAGGTGTGTAGTTGCCAGGTGCAGCCTTTCCTGGCCTCTCGTTGTCGCTTGTCTGTGTGGCCTGGTCACACGTGACCGGGCCACACTGTATAGCGGCATGCTGCACAGCGGCATGCTCTTTTGCTGGGATTAACTCCTCCTCGTCCGTTGTTGTCTCCGATGCCACCGGGTCAGCTGTCAGGGTCCGTACCTCGTTCATCATGTCAGGTGTGGTGCCGTCCACGACTGGATTAATTGCAGGGGCCGGCACATCGGCCTCCTCCATGTGTGGCTCTCCTTGGTCTTGGGCCTGGATCTTCACAGCCTGAGCCGAGGAAGATGAGGGGCCATCACTGACGGTGCCTGGCTGTCCGTCGCCCTGCGATTCCGCCTCCTCAGAGTGCCATTCGGTACGCTCGGTCCACGAATTCCAGCCATGCCACCACCCTGTCGACTCCGTCGCTTCATGTCGCCACTCATTGTGGCCTTCCCACGACTGCCAGCCCCGTTGCCTCAGCTCCGTGGCCGTTCTGCGATGGCGACCATCTGCTCGGTAGTGCGAGCGAGGGTGCTCCCTAGGAGGGAGACCTCTCTCGGCTCTCGTGGTTTGCCTCATTTGAGCCCGAGGTCTGGAGGTGGAGATGCTCATGCAGGCATTGCATACTGGCGGCTCTGTACGCTCTGGTGAAATATGTGGTGCAGGCAGACTGCAAATTGAGTGTCCTGCCCTGGAGCGGAGGTCTGCATGTGGTGGGGCCGAAAGCGGCTCCCCTGCATCAGGCAGCGTCTGGAGTGCCCTAATGCTATTGGACTGACAACTGCACTCTCTCGGATGGCTCATGCTCTCACCTACATCAGACCGACTGCAGCTATGCACAGTGAAGGACATGTAAGTAGCAGCCCATCCCGCATGCCAGCATGGTATACACATCACTCTCACAGACTGTTCAGCACCTATGATCATGACTTCGTGTCGAGCAAGACCAAACGACCGTGCAGGCGCTGAGGTCCCGACCGGAGGTGCAACACGGATCCACTGTGGACAGATCTCTGCATCCGCTGTCAGCCAGGCTTCCAGGGTCTGTTCGGGAGGCTGCGAGTGCTGCACAGGCCAGTTGATCCCTAAGGTGGTGTTTGCTGACAGAGGGGTATGCGTGGCGTCCTTGCATCGGCCTTCCCCCTGTTCGGGGGCCGCATGTTGTTCAGGCAGTGTACACAACACGCACACCGATCGGGAGGTACCGAGTGGCTTGGCATTATGTCTAGCTGGACTCGGATCTTGCACGGTTACTGGGGCCCCTGCTGGAGGTGCGTCACGGATCCATTGCGTGCAGATCTCTGCAGCCATTGTCATGTATTCTATCGAAGACTGCTTGGGAGGCTGCGAGTGCTGCACGGACCAGTTGATCTCTAAGGTGGCGTTTGCTGACCGGGGCCCTTGCGTGGTGTCCCGGTATCGGCTTTCCCAGTGCGCTGGGGCCGTTTGATGCTCTGGCAGGGTCTCCCACATTGGCAGCAGGGCACACATCCAAACAAGCATGCATCTTGTTATGCACTGACGTTCCCACTTTGCATGTTTCCCTCTCAAAAATCTCTCTCTCCTTCTTGGCACTTTCCAAGCAAGTTTGGTGCTGTGGCTCAGCACCGAGCCAATCCATGGCATGAAAACTACGTCCTCTCTCACTTGTGTGAAGAGAGGCACAAAAACACACTACCCCCTCCCCCCCTCCCGACTCACGCTACAAACAAATTTGAGCCGGAGGCTTCGACGGGTGATCTGCACAGTTTGATGGGGAAGGAACGCGTGAGAACCAAGGGATGAACTCACACCCCACCTCCAAGCTCACAAACATTTTAAGCAGGCTTTTCACAGTTGGGGATCTGCCCCTGCATGAAATCAAAATGTCCCTAACAGCGTTGTTGTCGATGAAAGCCACGACAGGTGAGTTCGCAACCCTTTTGCCCCAAAGACGGAACGCAAGCAGCACCGCAACAAACTCGGCCTCCATTATGATTGTGTCCTTGCTAATCTCACCCAGGAGCTTCCGGACGTCGCTGTCGAGGGCGTGAGAGAAACCAGCAACCAACACACCCTTATCATCAAACAAGAGACCGCCCACACCACAAGGCAGCACGGGGTCATCCTTCGAATAGGATGCAGCAGTGAAGACATACCAGGTTTGCTGTTTGTTGACTTGGACTAGCCTAGGGCGGCCACTGTCCAACATGTCGACTAGCGAGGTGAAAGTGTCGATGCACTCCGTCGGCAGATCAGGAGGGGCACCACCATGGGCATACTCCGAAAGCTGCTGCAGGCAAAACTTGCTCTGACGCCCAAACAGCTGTCCACTTGCAAACTGGAGCTTACCCCTTAGCTTGAGTGCTTGAGGCACACTCATACGCCGGTCTTTCTGGGCCTGCTTCATAGTCTCAACGAGGAGCTGGACCCTTTTTTCCGTATTGCATATGGTCACACGACCCAAGTGGGCGCTCGACAGCACTATGTCAACCCCTAAAGCACAAAAGGTTTCCGCAAACGGCACATCCTTTTTCCCGCCTTGGGCCAGGTCCCAACCCAACAGTGCGAAGAGCAAGGTGATTGTTTGGTGCACATTGGCCACCTGTGAGCCTCTAGCAACCGACACGAAGTCGTCAAAGTAGTGGGACCAGCAAAGGGCGAAGAAGAACGCGCCAAGATGCCATACCGAGTTAACGGTCCTCAGAAAAGTCGACACCGACTTGACTGCCCCGAAAGGGAGGGCGTGCAGCTGAAACACTACTACCCTCTTCAGATCAGGATCCCACAGCCCAATGTACGAAGCCCAGGCCCCTGCAGGGTCCAAAGCCAGCTGCCTGTAGGCACTGACCAGGTCATAGAACCTTCCCTTGAGACTACAACCTGGTTGCGCTCGCATCAGAGACAGGCACACGCCTGCGATGACGTCGACGGTCTGGGGGCGCACAGTCTCCAATGTCTCTACGGAGCTATTGACTCCCGACCCTGAGAAGTCGTCAATCAATCTGATCTTCCCATCCTGCTCGATCCCGAACCGTCGAGACACAATGGCATCAGGTGGCAGCTGGTCCACCTCAATGGGACCTGACAGCCAGCCCCTATCGCGCTCCTCGAGGGTTTTCGTTTGGACCTCACGATCCAGGGACTCCCCTTGAGACTTGATGGTGGACAAAAGGGCCGCCCTAGAGGTGGGTGCATCTCTTTTGAGTTGGTCAACTGTGACTGACGCCGGCTTGAACTTCGGGGCAAACACACCTGTATCAGGCACCGGGCCTCCCAGGTTAGTACCTGAGATTACTTCATCGAAGATGGCCACATCGTCGTAGGAGGCCTCAACCATCATTGCCTTCCACAAGAGGAGACGTTTGGGCTTAAGGATCGTCGCGACCTGTTTGTGCATAGAGGCCTTCAGCGCTTCTTCCTCACTTCTAAGGTCCTGCGCAAGCTTAAGCCACTTTGCAAACTGGCGCGCTCTCAACCCGCACAGCTCCGACTCGGTCAACGAGGCATGGGTGCACACAGCATCTTTGAGTACTTGCGGCAGGGCGACCTCTAGGGTTCTGGGATGGCCGGCTTTAACTGCCTCGCGGACAAACTGTTCCGGGGAAAACGGGATGCCCCAAACCAGCTCGTTCCAGAGCTCCGAACCAACCCCACAACCTTTGCTTCCAGAACCAGCACTCGCACTCCCCTGCTTAACCGGGACCATTTGCAACAGTTGGGCGTCGGCTGGCACCGAGCGCTCGGGGCAGACGGCCACGTGGGGCAGTCGCCAGGGGTCCTTAAGGCGGGCACGCAGGGGCACCGGACAGGAGACATGAGGGGGGATCCGTACTCGCAAAATGCGAGCATGCTCAGGCACACGGGGCCCCGTCACAGAGGCCTTCGGCTGACTCCCGACCTGGCCACGGACAAGAGACAGCTGGAGCCCGGCAGGCGAGGGCGGCCTGGGCGGGCAAGCCTGAAAGAACGCTTGGGCGAGAGCACGCGCCAGCGGCAGCGGATACGCAGCCTCCAACGACGTAGAAAAACCGTTAGGCGCTGCCGGCGCCACCCCCCACGGCAGGTGACGTTGGGCGCAGGACTGCCCAGGGCAGGACTTGCAGATGCTGTCAAACGCACCCCGGGTATACGCAATGGCCGTCCACTTCGGACGACGGCTGCCGCAGGCGCAACTCTGGAATGCAGTGAACTGAAAGAGGTGTGCGATGCGTGCAAACATGGAAGTTCGCCAGTAGAGACTTTGCCGGGGGTTCTCCACACCTATGACAAGGGCTCGGGAAGCAGCCTCAAGAACCAGGTCGGAAACACAATCATAAAGCTGGTTTGCCAAGGTGACACGGAGAAGGGCCTGCCCACCCAGCTGCGGCCGGGTTCGGAAACTTTTCCGATCGGAGAGGGGGGGGCCCTGGAACCCCTTTAATCTCCCTTGCTCGGCTGGCCGTCCCACACGGTGGAGCGAACCAAATGCCCACACAGTTGGGCATTGCCAGCCAACGTCGAACCAACTCAACGCCTTCCGTTGTACACAAGTCGACAAGATGAACATGACAGGCGGCACCAGGCACGCGCTTATGGTCGACGGCAACGGCGTCAAACCCAAGTTGCTTGAGGCAGGCTGAGAGCCTGGACATGCCGGAAAAGACCTCAATAATGAACGGTGGCCGGGAAGACATATCGGGCACCTGCGTAGGCTCCGGTGCGGGGTTGCTGAGCGGAGGAACATCCGACAGTGCTGGAAGGAAATCCGGTGGCAACGGGAAGCCAAGCTCAAGGAGGGCTTGGGGGACCTCCAGCTTAACTGAGGGCATATGAGGCAGCGCATATGCCACCAGGACCACGCGACGGCCTTGCCAGGGTTCAGTCATATGCCAGTGGTCCTTAGCAGGCAGCTCAAGACAACCATCGACGAAATTGAGCACACGACCCTGAACCGGAGAGCCTTGAACAGGGCGGACATCTTGCCCAGGGCCTTCACACCACACACCGCCCCCGGAGAAATCTGAAAGCTTAAACACAAGATTAGGAGTTGGGCCGTTATGGGAGTCACGATGAGGCTCAGTGGGAATGTCACAAAAGATGGCAAGCGAAGTGAACACCGCAGACGGCCGGCGCTGTCGAACGAAAGCACAGAGGACCTGCGCGACTTTCGGGAAGCGAGACACATTGGCCCGAAGGCCCAGCACACCCCCTCTCCGGTACAGACCAGTGAAGAACGAGCTGCCCGACGCCGCCTTGTGAGGGGCCTCGTGTGGAAGAAGCTCCCACAGGGAGAGCACAGAGTGAGGTCCAATGAGCTTGCCCTGGAGAAGTTGCTCAGCAAGTTCCTCAGGATCACTGAAAGAAGTACATGAATTCAGGGAGGTTGGCTCAGGAACGAGGGAAACCGGGGGCTCAACCGCAACACGGCGCACAGATTGACTGACCACAGCGGGAGCCTCAGCTCCAGTTTCCTCATTTGGCAGAACCGCTGTCAACACGGGCTCATCCGACGTTGAATCAGCAAGCTCCGCCTTTTGCACTGACTGTCACTCTTTGTGATCCCGGATGGGATGCGGTTGGAAACACTTGCAACACAGGTGCTTGCGGGGACACGTGGCGGCGGAACACTTGCACTTGTCCCCATGCAGGTTGTAATCGAAACAGAGGGCCTCACCCGTAGGGGCATTAGCAACGCCTCCTTTCTGGAGAATCTCTTTGGGGATACGGGCGGTGAGGGAAAACTTGCCTTTGCCCTTGCCACCGCCTTTGGGGCTACCTTTGAGCTTCTTTTCCCCCGGCTCGAGCTTTCGCTTGAGCTCACGGCGCTCTTTATTTCCATTGCCCTGCTTCTGTGGAAGCGGCATCAAGGCCATGGAGACGTGGTAGCTTTCAAGTGCTGAGATCAACGCATCATCCATTGGGAAACTTCCGTCTGTGGCTGCACGCGGTTGAATACCGAGTTCGATCAGGCGGACGAACACTTGCCGATCGGCTTCCACCAATTGTGCAACAGAGCAGCGTGCAAAACCTGGAGGGGGTTCCCGGTGAAGGTTGCTGAACAGACGGGAGATGTACTTCTCATAGGCAGTGAAGGTGAGGCACTGAGCAAACACATAGGCAATGCCCCGACGACGAAGGGCCTCCTGGACTTGCAACGCGCTATGAGTTGGCATACTCATGGCATCATCCGTTTCCTTGATCACCAGCTTGGAGCTTTCAAGTTCTAACTGGCGGGATGCACCTGTGGAGTGGGTGACTTCGTGTGTCCTTGATACACATCGATCAGGGCTGAGGTACTTCAGCTGATTGGCGGACTCCTGCCTGACACAATCTTCCAAGACACATCTCCCGGGCTCCATGCCGCCCTCAATCAGCACGCCCGGAAGCCGACCCTAAGGTGCTGCAGACGCCGGTCCCTTTCCGCCTCCGGCATTTTCCTGGAGGTACCTTCTGGATCAGAAACTTGCAGGCGCAAGTCAGCCAAAACCAACGTCTGCGCCTCAAAGACAAGG